AAGACCAAAAGCATAACTTCAATAGGAGGCTCGTGCATGAGGCGCGCATGCTGTACGTGCACACTCCTTAACGAAAATTAACAGCTGAGACGAAGCTCTGTGAAGCTGACAAGGGTCAGCTTCACAGAGCTCTGAGAGCTGACAGTCCTGTGTGTGTGTGTGTGTGTGTGTGTGTGTGTGTGTGTGTGTGTGTGTGTGTGTGTGTGTGTGTGTGTGTGTGTGTGTGTGTGTGTGTGTGTGTGTGTGTGTGTGTGGCCCAGAGGACAGGAGAACGCGCAGCTAATTAATTAAATAATTTGGTTCTGTACCTTTCTCGTCAGCACAGCCGACAAAGGTTTATGATGGGTCAGTCCTTCTGCATGCTCAGATCATTCCCTTCCCTTGCTTGAAAAATTGTTCCAAAATGAAAGTTGAACCCACATCTTTTTTATCTGTGAATTCAATGCCGTTCGTCGAGTCTCAAATAAAAATTTGGGCATCTTACTGTAAAAAAAATTTATCATTAATGTAAAAAAGAAACTCTAAAACAACTATATTCACATCAAGAATCGAACCCAGGTCTTCTGTACGAAAGACTGAAATCTTACAAGGCGAGCTAAACCGCCAGTGGCATCTTTTGTATCTGTAACATTCAAATCCTTGATCACAGCCAAAACAACGTTAAAGGAACGGTTCGGAGGGCTATGCCTGAGCGTGAACGCGCATGAAGCAGACTGCTCAACCCAAGCAGCTCTCTTTTTCTGTGATTTTACATAAAAATAGGCGATCACAATAAAAATGCCAGGGCTCATGACCCAGTACCAGGGCATTGCAGGAAAATCTTTTAAGAAGAAATTTATTATTTCTGTACATGTTTTGCCTGTCAAACTTCCATAATGCCCCTTTAAATGTTAGATCTCTCGGTAATAAGTAATTTCTAGTAAATTATCTCATTGCCTCTAACAATCTTGACGCCATCTTTCTAACAGAAATTTGGTTATCTGATCCGAACTCTGTGTTAGCTGGATAGGTGAACTTGACCTTGTTGCTAAACACATCTTTAATCATTATCATAATTATTATTATTACCCAAAGCATAATAATCCATTTCATGTAATTAAAATACCTTTATAATGAGCCAAGTGATCATGTTATGATGACTATATTAAACAGTAATAAAATCAGTGCGTTTATTAATTATTATCTAATTATTATCATCGTGGCTTGAAGTGTCCTTCTTGGGACAGAACCGCAGATATGATGTTATGATCTTGAGCAGACATCCTGGCACCTTGGGTTAATCTGTGGATTCAGAAAGTACTGTTTGACCCAGCTGGGCAAATGTGACCTTTGCCACACATCAGAGAGCCTTCATTACGCTACATTGCTCAGCTGGACTCCAGAGGAATAAAGACAAAAACCCAGGTTAGAAATCAAGGTGTTATTAATGACTCAGACCTGAGCTTCTCTGGACATATTAAGGTAGGGTTATTCAAGTTTGGGCAGAGGGCCGGCATCCAGCACGTTTTAGTGATTTCTCTGGTCCAGCACACTAGGTTAAGTGGTTGAGTCACCTGTGCAGCAGCTTATCAGGCTCTGCAGAAGCATGTTAATCACCTGCTGTTTAAAATCAGGTGTGTTTAAGCAAGGTTAAAACTAAGATGTGCTGGATACGGCCGTCGAGGCCCATAATTGAATAGCCCTGTATTAAGGCTATAACTAAATTTGTTTTATCACCTTCATCAGATATCAAGAGTCAGCCAGACCAGACTTGAACAACATCATTCATGCTTTTATTTCTAGTCGGCTGGTCTCCTCACTGGTCTTCCCAAAAAAGCTGTGATGCAACTGCAACTTGTTCAGAATGCTGCCGCTAGAGCCTTAACAAGAACTAAGAGCGGAGCGCATCACTCTTGTTCTTAGATCTCTACACTGGTTACCAGTAAACTACAGAATAGATTTCAAAGTGCTCCTACTAGTTTATAAATCACTCAATGACATAGGACCAAAATACGTGTCCGATTTCATTCCTTTATATACACTAGGGCTGGGCGATATGGCCTAAAATCAATATCACAATATATTGAGGATTTCACCTCAATAGCGATAAATGGACGATAACGACAGCTATGTGCAGAAACAAAAGTTGTCCACTAGGGATGTGAATCTTAGAGCAACTCACGATTTGATTTGATTCCGATTCTTGGGGTGCCGATTCGATTCTGAATCGATTCTCAATTCTCAATTTAAATCGATTCACAATCAGTATTAACAAAGAGTGTCAGCTCCAGGATTAACTACTTTGTTGTACAAGTTAGTTAAAGCTATGGGACATTTTTATTTGACTTTAAACTGGTCATGCTCCAAAAATGCAAATTTACAATGTAAAATAAAGTGATTCTAAAACTGTGAACAGAAGCAATCTTTCAACCAAAAGGCAGCATTTATTTTTGCTCACCTTGTAAAATATAACATCTGTAGTTACCTAACAGTAGCATTGAAAGTAATACGGTCAAATACTTTTCAAGTATGTGTAGAAACAAGTTACATGAGTAATCCTGAGTACTCATTTATCAACTTATAAAATAAATATGAGAATATCTCAAATTTATGAGTATGGAAAAAATTACATTCAAGTGCCCTCTCATCACAAATTCAAACATAAATCATCTCAATTTATGGGACCACAAAAGTAAACGAAGTACTGACTCCTAACAAAGATCAAGAAAGTGCATCTCAAACCTGTAACTTTGCCAAATGAGTTCTTGGAATTGATTCTGAATCTTTATAAATGAGAATCCTGATTCAGACTTGAATCGATTTTTTTCAGCACCTCTATTGTCCGCTAGATGGGGCTGTCACATCTATTATGTCAAGGTGGTACCGCTTCTTAAAGGGACATGAATGTTGCCAACCTAAACAGATCTATTCATTTTTTATTATCAGATTTATTGACATAGGAGAAGTTATCTCTATAAGAGTCAGAAATTTTGATAATGATAAATTTTCTATTTTTTGTCCAGCCCTAATATACACCAATAGGGCTCTGAGATCTCTTGGAAACAATCAGTTGGTAGAACCACAGATCAGAACAAAACATGGTGGAGATGCATTTAGCTACTATGCTGCTCACTTATGAAATCAGCTTCCCCTTGACCTCCTTTTCTGTGGCCGTCTCCACGTTTAGGTCCTCCACCACCTCTCTTACCCATGGTGTCCCACAAGGTTCTGTGCTGGGGCCTCTGCTCTTCCTCCTCTATCTGCTTCCTCTTCAGCACATCCTGAGCTCCTTCAAAGGAATCCCCTACCATCTTTATGCAGATGACATCCAACTGTACATCTCCTTTAAGCCCCATGAGATTTCTAAGCTGCAGCTGTTACACACCTGCTTAGACTCTATCAAAACCTGGATGGCTGGGAGCTTTCTTCAGCTGAATGAAGATAAGACTGAGATCCTCATCTGTGCCCCAGACAAGCTGGTTCCCAAAGTCAGAGACTCTCTTGGTGCTCCTCACACGTAACCTTCTGTCAGGAATCTTGTCGTGACCTTTGACCCAGCTCTCACACTGGATTCTCATGTCAGTTCTCTTGTTCGCTTTTCCTTCTTCCATCTCAGGAACATTGCTAAACTGAGTCCCATTCTGTCCCGCTCTGAACTTGAGACTGTTATCCACACCTTCATCTCCTCACGCTTAGACTACTGTAACTCTCTTTTCACGTGTCTGAGCAGAACTTCCCTGAACCGTCTACAGGTGGTTCAGAATGCCTGTGCTCGGTTTCTGACCAAGTCCTCCACACACACCCACATCACCCCGCTTCTCCTCCAGCTTCACTGGCTGCCAGTCAACTTCAGGGTTCATTTCAAGATCCTGGTTCTGGTCTATAGGGCCTTACATGGACAAGCACCATCTTACATTGGTGATCTTCTTAGTACCTACACCCCCAGCAGGTCCCTGAGGTCCTGTGATCAAAGCCTACTGGTTGTGCAGCACCAGGCTAAAGACCAAAGGTGACAGATCATTTGCTGCTCTGGCCCCCAGACTCTGGAACTCTCTCCCCCTGAGCCTGAGATCAGTGGACTCAGTGGTCTCCTTTAAAAAGCAGCTGAAAACTCACTTGTTCAAGCTGGCTTTTGTATGACCTTCTTCACCGCTCTCTCTTTATTCTGCTCTCCCCACCTATTCCACCTTCCTCAGGATCCACTGATTTCCCTCTTTCGTGTTCACACTCTCTCTTAAAAAATTTTTTAATCACAGTTGCCTATTTTTGCTCATTTTAATATATGTCTAAACATGTTCTAAATGCTTTTTTTATATTTTTACATTTTTTGTTTTTGTGAAGCGCCTCGTGATTTTTATCTTGAGAGGCGCTATAGAAATGATATTTTCTTCTTCTTCTTCTTTTTCTTTTTCTTCTTTTTCTTTTTCTTCTTTTTCTTCTCCTTCTTCTTTTTCTTTTTCTTCTTTTTCTTCTTCTTTTTCTTCTTCTTCTTCTTCTTCTTTCTCTTCTTCTTCTTCTTCTTCTTCTCTGCCCCAACCCTAGTGTTGTTTAAATTAAAACTAAAAACCTTAATGTACTCATGAGCCTTTGAATGATTTGTTTCTTATCATGCGTCACCTTCACTGTAATCTGCACTGGAACTTTGTCTTCTCGTTCAGCTCTAAACTGTAATTCCATTTGTGTGTATTGTAATTTGAGTTTTTATGTGTTTTCATATCATGTCCTGATAATCGTAATGCACACTGAATTGCCTCTGTGTTTGAAATGTGCTCTATAAATAAAGCTGCCTTGCCTTGTAGTCTAAAATCAGAGAAAGGAGCATTTCTGCTAAAACAACCATCTCAGTTTATTGTCAGGGCTTCTCTGTTTGGACGAACATCAGAACATAAATAACACACACTCAAATCTTCTCTAGAGTTATTGTTGTAACCTCATAGCTAATGTTGCAAAATAAAAGCTTTTTAATTGGTCTGTGTTTTAAATTGTCTATTTTAATAAATTATTGTTATTGTGTTATTCAGAATATGTGAGCTGGTGAAGCAGGAATGCTCCCAACTAGAGCCCAAAGAGGATGCGTGGAAGGCAGACATGTACTGTGCTGCACACCACAATGGAGTCTGGGAGAGAGGACAGCTCTGCTCTGATGTCACATCCAGCAACATTGCAGAAGTATTAAACATCAGACTTTTGTTTTCTTGCCACATCTGTGTTCAGTTGTACTGTTTGACTTTTAAAGTCATGTTATAGCTTTAGAAACACGTTGTACGTGCTTTTAAGTGACCATTTCTCTGCTGGCTAACACTAGGTGAGACGGTGTGACTACGGCAGCACGGTGAAGCTTCACATCAATAACCTACGACCTCTCCCACCCTCTCTGACGGGCTCTATGGCTCTGGAGTGTACTCTGACTGACATCAGGTATGTGGTGGGGATGCTTAATGTCACAACATGGGTAACACGCATCCTAGATCTGTGTGGTGTGATCTAACCATCGACATAAATATTGGACAATGGGTTTCCATAGACTCCAATAACACGTTTTTGAGGCTGAATGGGAGGTGGCCGCCACCGCCATTTTGACCGTGTCACAGGTTCCGTCAAGCCCAGACAATTCCACAAAAGGGAAGAGAGGTGGAGCTGAGGGTGTGGCTGTAAGACTGGGATCAACTGACGACACCCGGTCGAACTAGCTACATGCTAACCTGAAGCTAACCCAAAGCTAACGCGGAGGTGGGAGCTAAGCTAACGCGGAGGTAGCAACCTAGCTACAACCGGAGTTAACTGTGCACAACACCAGAGCTTCTGAGTCAGAGATACGCCGGGCTGACCGCTGGATAAAACCGGGTGGAACACAGAGGTCTCCCGAAAGCTGCTGAAAGCCGGCACCCCGCGCAGCAGACAGAAGCCGCGATCAGACAGTGATGCGCCGAGCTGCTGGGAGGGGAGAACGAGTGGAAAACATCAGTCTCCTGAGAGCTCCACAAGCCGATAGTCGGAACCCAGCTCCACCAGCATGTTATATTACAACCCATTTTCTAAAGTGCAGCAGTATGTTAAATGCACTGGGTTTTACCCTATTACATTTAAATTTCACGGTTTAAACAGTACATGTTAAAATCTAAGCTCAGCTCAGCAGTGACCTAAAATACATAAATATAATTTTACTTACCGAACAAAATGAAGTGGAGACTCCTTGGACGCTCTATTAGTGCAATTAATGCCACAGCAAGTCATTTTGTCCAACAATTGCACAAAAAATATCCAAAACACAATACACAAACACAGAGACTCAAAATCCCGGAACAGTTTCCAGGCCAGACCGAGGCTCTATTGAGGCCTTTCCACGGAGCTAGCTCTGTGGTCACGTGGGTCTGATGCTCATTAATTATACAGGATTTTAGGCTTTTAATACACTTAAACAGAAGAGTGAGAAAAAAATTCACCCCCCTCAGAGTTGTCATGAGTGTAAACTAGATAATTTAAACCAAAAACATGTTTTGGTACCAGGCTGTAAGCATGTTTATTTCTGCTGTGAAATTAGTATGTTTAACATGGGAGTCAATGAGGATTTGCTCACTTCTGACACCAGTCCCTAGTGGATGAGGGTGGGACTGCAATTTTTGGTACTTCCGGGTTGGCCTCAATTTTTGAGCCGCATTGTGGGGGCTTGGATCTAACACAGAGTCGGTAGCTCTAAAGACTTAGATGGGACATGTCTCCACTCCATCACAGGGACACACTGAGGCAGAAATCCACCCACTCATGCCTATGGGCAACTTAAAGTCTCCAATCAACCTAACGTTAATGTTTTTGGGCTGTGTATGCATCTGGAGACTGCCTCTTCTAGATTGCCTACGTGATGTGAAATGTTGGCTGGCCACAAATTTTCTGCATTTCAATGATTCCAAGACTGAACGGATCCTGTTTAATCCGGTCAGATCTAGCTCATTCCAAACCCCAGATCTTTCATCTGTTTCGCGAAATCTAAAAACCGTTGTGACAAACCTGGGTGTGAAGATGGATTCATCTCTAAGGATGGACGCCCAGGTCAATGCCAGTGTAAAATCTTGTTTTTTTCCAACTCCGCCATCTGTACAAATTAAGAGCCGTGTTATCTAGGAAAAAATTGGAATCAGTTGTTCATGCCTTCACCACATCTAGGCTCAACTACTCGAATGCAATTTTGCTGGGTGTCAATAAGTCAATCCTTGCCCGACTTCAACTCGTTCAAAATGCAGCTGCTAGATTCCTAACGCGTACTGACAGGCGCCAGCATATAACACCAGTTCTCAAATCCCTTCATTGGTTGCCCATCACTTTCAGGGTCCAATATAAAATGCTACTTTTTGTTTTCAAATCCCTCCATGGTCTTGCCCCTGTGTACTTATCTGACCTTCTTTCAATTTATACTCCTGGTCGCACACTCAGGTCCTCCAGCCTGTTGCTCCTCGAGGTCCCGAAAGCGTGTTACAAATCATGCGGACAAAGAGCTTTCTCTGTCGCGGGTCCTAAATTGTGGAATGAACTTCCAGTCACAGTTCGACTGGCATCCACCTTGGCAGATTTTATCTCTAGATTAAAGACGCACTATTTTACCCTTGCTTTTAATAGTTAGCTGTTAGTTTGGTTTTTACTACTCTTATTTTATCGTCCATTGTAAGGTTTTTATTGGTACTTTTTTATCGGCTTGTCTTTTTTATTGTTGGTTGTATTTCATAGTACTGTTTTATGTTTTCTATCTCTGTTATTGTGCGACTGTTCAGCACTTTGGTCAGCCGTATGGCTGTGTTTTTAAAGTGCTATATAAATAAAGGTATGGTATGGAGAACACTATACCGAAAGCTTCAGCTGGGATTCAAACCTGCAACCTCATTGCTGCGAGGCAACAGTTCTACTAACTACCACCATGCAGCTCTTATGTTCGTTTTAGATGTGTATTTGCTGTGAGAGTGCATTCCCTACTTTTCGTTTCACGTTTCCTGTTTACTTTGTGTTTCATGTCTCAGACCATCAGGAGGCCGGTCAGCCTGGACTAAAACAGCCTGTGACTTGTTCTCCTACTATCTGACTGGAGCTTCAGCTAAGATGACCATCCAGGTCTGTTGTCCCCTGGTTGTCCTGCCTGCTTCACTTGAACAGCCTTTTTCAGTGCATCGTTGTTCTTATTTAGGAGGTAACAAGTAAGCGTCCGCTACCCGTCACTCTCTTCTGCCTCAAGAGTAATGGGGAGTTCATGAGCTTTGCAGACTTCTTGCTGAGCGAAGGACTGGCCCTCAGAGACAAAAAGCCGAGGTGGGTCTTCACCACATTCATGAATTTCATTTGTCCTAAATTTCAGCTTGTGCTACATTTTGTTTTTAGTAGCCTCAACCTAACATTTGTGACGTCACTACAGAGTAAACACAGGTGCAACTAAATAATTCAGAATAATCTAATTTATAATATGCTGTGGTGCAGAGCTGCCCCTAACAAAAAACCAGAAGACACTGATGCAAAGACTCCAGTCTGTAAGACTCAAAACGACAGAAAAGAAGAAAGCTCTCCAGATGTCCATCTTCCTCCTACCTACTCATCCTCACTCATCCCCAGTCTTGTCCCTGCTGAACCCGCCCCCCAATTCACTATGCCACCTGAAAAGGTGATCAAAAGTAACCCTCTTTTAAAAACACAAAGCTTGTAAATAATTAGCTGCACGGGTAAAGTGTGTGTGTGTGTGTGTGTGTGTGTGTGTGTGTGTGTGTGTGTGTGTGTGTGTGTGTGTGTGTGTGTGTGTGTGTGTGTGTGTGTGTGTGTGTGTGTGTGTGTGTGTGTGTGTGCACATTCAGGTGGTGACCACTTTGTACCAACCACCAGAGCTACCGTGTCTCGGCCACGTCCGCATCAGCGTCTCTGCCGTCGGAGACGATGGTGTGATTTATATCATGACCCAGGATGCAGGTACTCCATATTTCTGCACGACACCAAAACTGAACTTGGAATCAGCAACTTCATTTATTCATATGGTGTTGAGTCATTAGAGCTCATTGGTGTGTGTGTGTGTGTGTGTGTTCTTGTACTTATTACATACTGGGGACATTTTTCTAAGTGAGGACCTTTTGTGGTCCTCACTTTTTTTTCTTTCTTTTTTTTAACGCTTGGTTTTTAGAGCTGTGGTGTGAATTAAGTTTTAGTTTAGGTTGGGGTTAGGAATAGAGCTGTAGCGAAGCGTCAATGATGTCGACGGCTCAATTCTAAAAATTTGTCGATGTCAGATCCGGTAGTCGACGCACCGCGCCCACTTGTTGCATCCACAGGAGTTTGTAAATAGAGGAGGAATCTGCCTTTTTTGCCTCTAGTTCGCCCTCTTCTCCGCCTTCACTAACATCTCCACCAAATACCGAAGACCCGGAACAATGTCCGTCCACTACTAGATTCCTTTCCTGTTTTGCCCGCCTTCATCTCCCGGCAACGGACAACAACTTCCGGGGTCAGATGCGCTGCTTCGTCTCTATCGCAGATGTAGAGAATCACCGGGAGCGTTTCTCCCTTCATAAAGGAGCTTCTTTCAGACATTAGGAGAGCTGTTTTGGTGGTAGCAGTCTCTCCTCTGTGCTGGTCTGTTTGCTGCAGGGTGTTTGTTGTTTATTTAAACTTGGTAACTTGAACTTAACGTCGATAAAGCTACTGTTAGCATTTTCGCTAACAGCTTCTTGCATTTGGATAAGCTGTTACGTTTTGGTTTAGAGTTAATCTTTTTTGTGGTGCAGATCTCCCTTTTATTACATTTAGAGTGTTGTGGGTTTTCGGTTTAGTTTAAAATATCACCTTGAGTTTGGTTTAACCACCCAGTTTAGAGTTTGGACCTTTGGAGATCCTTATTTTGGTCCAGAACCCTGTAATCTTTGCCCAGTGGGACATCCCTACTTATTTGTACTTTGTTTTAATTCCCCACAGGCAGAATTAGTTTTATTATTCCCAACCTGTGGATGGAAAGATTTATGTATTTTTGTAGTTGTAAATAAACCTGATCATCATTTTAACTTTTAAATCCCGTTATTGTCCCTTCCTTTTTGCACACAAGCCAAACTCCCCAGGAAGAGTCATAACACCACTCGCCTCACGCACATAAGTGACCAAAACAAAGCAGCATGGAGACACTCCGTCTCCAAACACCTCTCAGGCAGCAGCCTGCACTCCCAAGTTCTACACGTCACCATAACATAACCAACCAACACAATAAAAGCAGGGTTATACAAAATGGAAGGCCTGTAGTGTTTATTCTCTTACAGTAAAAATTTATCTTTCTTTTTTTTTTTTTTTTTGAGGAATTTATTTGATTTTCTGGTTATTATTAATTGTGCAATAGAAAAATAATCGTTAGGTTAATCGTCTAAATAGTCATTAGAATAGTCGACTATTCGATAAAATAATTGTCAGAATAATCGTTAACCCCCAGCCCGAGTTAGGAATACGTCAGCATTAGTTATGATTAGTGTTAGGCATAATACTGTCACAAAAATGAATGAAAGTCAATGGCTGGTCCTCACTTTGATAGAAAGACAGACGTGTGTGTGTGTGTGTGTGTGTGTATGTGTGTGTGTGTGTGTGTGTGTGTGTGTGTGTGTGTGTGTGTGTGTGTGTGTGTCACACAGAGCACCAGCTGGAACAGCTGAAAGAAAAGATTCAGCAGAGCTTGAAGACCCTACCCACACCAAAGCCCTACACCTGGAAGTCAGTTCAGGGCTGTGCTGTCATTGGACCCGACATGTCCTGGTACCGAGGACAGTTGCTGGAGTTGCTGGGAGGACATGTTAAGGTGAGACCAGGAAGGAGATCTGTCTGGGATTTTCTCATTTATGGCAAAAAAATATTTTTCTTCATTTTCAATCATTTTTATTATCACAACATAGTCGGTAGTTGCATCAGCAGGAAAAACAAATATGGAGTTTTTCGTGACAAATATGTATCGATGTGTAATTGAATGTGTGAGTACTTAGTCTGATGATGTTGTGTTAACAGGTTCAGTATGTGGACCTAGGACTGGTAGAGTGCATCCCGGTGGTCCACGTGTACCCTATGCTGCTCTGTGCTGACGTCCCTCAGCTCTGTGTACCCTGCCAGCTGCTCGGCATCAAGCCGGTAAAACATCAGTGAGATTTCCTAACTTTATTTTTGGTTCTGCCCCATTGGGGCAGCAGTAGCTCAACAGGTTGAGCGGGTTGTCCAGTAATCGGAAGGTTGCAGGTTTGATCCCGGCTCCGGACAGAGAATTCTGCTGTTGTGTCCTTGGGCAAGACACTTAACCCACCTTGCCTGCTGGTGGTGGTCGGAGGGTCCGGTGGCGCCTGTGCTCGGCAGCCTCGCCTCTCATCCCCACCAGTGTGTGAATATGTGTGTGAATGGATGAATGATACACTGTAGTGTAAAGCGCTTTGGAGTCCTTACTCTGAGAGGCGCTATACAAGTGCGGGTCATTTATCATTTATCTTTTTAAGCTTAAAGCTGTTCTAGCGAATTTACAGAACAAGCAAAGTTTTTAACACAAACACGGTGTATATATGTAGCCGATCCTTGCCGCTACAACGGTCGTGGAACACTCACCCCTCCCCTCAGGTATCTTCCCTGAATCGGAGACCCGCAGGGCCAGAAGAAACAAGATATTGCTGAACACCGTTCGCTGTTTCTAGGTCCAAACACCTTTTGTTGTCTGTGACTTCAAACAGTGTTTTTGGGAATCTGATAGTATGTCCTAGTGGTAGCACGCTGCTGTTTCTCTGATATTATTGAGCGGAAAACCTCTGCTGTTTCTTTCAGAGTGGAGTCATGGTGCAAACGCGTAGCACAGAGCTAAATAGCTTTTTCAAGATGGCACATAACCATGGAGTGTCGACCGCAGTTTATGTATTTAAAAATGTAAAACTCCAAGCTGAGAGGATATTTAGAATAGAAGTTGGTGAGAAATCTTAACTCATTCAATGACAATGACGAAAATCGTCATTTGCATTTTTTTACTGTGTGGGCGTCGGAACGAGCCCCTGCACCGTGAGAACAAACATCTTAGCTCTAAAGCCGATCTTCATCCACACACGTCACATGATCAGGAAGCAGAAAATCCATGTGTTAGGAGATCGTTTTGGGCCGCTGCTGTAAGAAAAAGGTGAGGCGCGAACCGGAAAAGCTTCTGCCGATCACAATTCAACAACGGATTATGAAAGAACGGATAACGCTCGAACTCTTCATGATGTAAGAGGTGAGTCTCCTCTTTGTTTTGGTAGTTTTGGCGTCGGCATCATCCTAGCGCGCAACGTTCTGTAAAGCTGGGCGTACACTGCGACTTTTTCACTCGCAGCGTTCAGCTTCAGCTCAAACTGTACGACTTCCTCGCAGAGCAGATCTCACGAGTCATGTGCTCACACTGTACGTCCCAGTTCTCGGATGCGACCTGACTGCTCACACTGTACGTCTGGTAGCAACAACGTCGGCCCTAAAAATATGCTAAAAATAGCCGTTTTTACACAACACGTCAGACTTTTTTGTCTTGTCTTGCCTGTTGTCCTGCGGGAGTGCTGCAGGAGGACACACAGGGATTTATGGGGGTTGGATGAGGAAAACAAAATAAGGAAAGTAAATCTGTGTTTTGTGATCAGTTTAATTTGACATGAACACGACAAACACACTTTCTTGACAATCTTTGTGAGTAAAAAAACGTGTAGAAACAAAAACGAACAACGTGTGTTATTAGGGAAATAGCGAGCGAGCGGCGTTGATGCATGATTGTGCATGCGCCGTGAGCGGTTCTGATACTTTTTGGGTCGCAGCTGCTCGCAGCGCCGCTTCAACAGTGCGATACCCTCACGAGGGACGAGCGAAATATTAAACACGCCAGAAGTCCGTGCGAGCTCACAATTGCTGATCGGTAGCTGGTCACGTGGTGTTAATCGCCTCTCCCTGTACACTACACGACGCTCAGCGCAAAACTCGCCCCGATCTTGTGGATTCTCGCACGACTGGAAAATCTGCTCAAAAAAGTGAAAAAGTCGCACAGTGTACGCCCGGCTTAACTCTTAAAAAACCAGTAAAAACGGTGAGAAACGCTGGCAGCGAAGGAGTTAATGATATAGAACAAGTTTGTGAACTGGACACAGAATTTGATAGTAAACAGGAACAAATATTACACTAAAGTACTATTTATTATTTATAGCCCCTAAACATGAAAATCTGATCAAACAGAAAACAAACTAGAGGACAAATGGTAACCATACATTTATTTCCTGTAAATGTTTGCTCAGGCTGGAGAGAAGTGGCAGCCAGATGCAGTCGCCCTGATAAAGAACGTGTTGCTGCACCGCTCTGTGGCCATTCAAGTTGTGGTAAAATCTCAGTCATTCTTTCTGTTGCCTTCCTTGTATAAACACACTTGTGAGGTTCTGGGGAGATATATCTGTTTTTAGTCATCAGTAGCACAAGTAGCTCATTTCTTCTATGGTAGGAGCTGCCAGCAGACCCACGGGCTCCTCTCATGGTTCACGTTTTCCTGGATGGAATGAGTCTCAGCAGGATCCTCTGCCACCACGAGCACGCCTCTATGGACCAGACTCTCTCAGTGAGCAAGGTCTGCATGTGTTGCTGTTTTTAAACGATTTTTCTAAGATGAATGTGTACAGAAACAAGAACGTGTGCTTCTCTGTAGGAGGTGAAAGCGGAGCCTCCTGCCCCTGTCCTGGATGACTGGGATATGAACACCAAGGTAATTAAACCTGAACTGTGAATGGGTGAATTTATTCCCTAACAATGTAGCATTATGAATAGGGATGGGTACCTTTGACATTTGAATCGATTCGGTACCAATTCCTGGTACCTAGGAATCGATACCAGTTCTTAACAGTACCAATTTAAGATACTTTTGAGTGTTTAATATTTTAATTCTCTTTTATAATAAAATATATATTTTTCTCTATTTATAACCATATTTGGTAAATATCACGATAAATAACATTCAACTGTTTGTATTTTAACATCGTCCTTGTAGTTTTGTAAGCTGATAATTAAACTGAAGCAAACATCTTTACTGTGAACTAAATTTACTGTGTATCTTCATTAGGGCGGCAGCTATCGAATATTTTTGTAATCGAGTACTCTATCGAATCTTTTATCGATTAATCGAGTACTCTAATAAATTACTCTTTTGTGTTTGTAAATCATTATATCAAATAGCATGTAATAAAATATGAAAGACCTCTTGAAATGAGCAAGCAATTGCCAGTTATTCTTCAAGTTTTATTCAAATTTAGTTTTCAAAACTTCAGCACTTCAACTTTCACAGTAAACAAATGCGAGCGGCTGCGGCCCAAACAGCTCCAGAACCGCTCACAGCGCATGCGCAAACATGGCTCGCCAGCTGTTTCCCTATTAACACACGTTTGTTTTAATTTCTACACTTTTTTTTCTCACAATAACAAGGATTGTCGAAAGCATGTTTGCCGTGGTTATGTCAAATTAGACAGATCACACAACATTTATTTACTTCCTTTCGTTTTCCTCCGTCACTCTCATAAATACCCGTGTCCTCCTGCAGCAATCCTGAGGGACAACAGACATCAATAACAAAACAACAAAAAGTCTGACGTGTTGTAAAAACTGCTATTTTTTAGCACATTTCAAGTCCGACGTGTTGCTACCAGATGTACGGTGTGAGCTGAAACCAAGTGCTACAAATGAAAAGTCGCACAGTGTCCGCAGAATATATAGAAATACAGGCTAAAATGCATGATCTTGTAGAGGCTCCGAGTCCGCTTGCAGAAGTGACATTTACATGTGGATGTTTCATGGTCAGGTTGCAGCATCGAGGAATATGGTGTGGTAGGCTATATCCATTTTACAGTATTTACACTGGAGTATGTTTTCCGCCTTACGACGTGAAAAATGGTCCCACACATTTGGCATTCTCTGTCTTTTTCGCACTCCACCGGGGTCCACGTTGTCCGCCATGGCTTAAGAGAAAGTTAAGTTACATTCGCTACTCGTGTGTGCATTCAGTGCAGTGTGTATGTGCGTCACTTATTTCGGTCCGGGTGAAACATGACCCCGGGTGAATGCAAAGCCATGAATTAATTAAACATGAATTAAACGAAGCCTCGAGGCAGAGAATTTGACTCGAGGCTTTTTTGTACTCGAATTATTCGAGGTACTCGAGGAATTGTTTAAGCCCTAATCTTCATTTCTTTTGCTGTCCTCCTTCTTTGATTTTTCCTACTGGGAAGTTAGAATTTCCAAGGAGAAAGTGAATGCACCATTAGCTGATACCAATGGAGGCAATGGAAGCTAACATATCAAGCTAACATTATCTTAAACAGTTTATTTAGCTGCTGGAGCAGATTAAAACCATGATGCCTCACACTTAGATCGTTGTCGCTGGTTTCATCTTCACCCAATCACCCGTCACATTTAGTAAAGTGAAGCCAAACTTTAGAGTGCGTTCATGTTCTTCTAGTCGGAAATTCTGAGTTCCGAGGAGAAAGCGAATGCACCATTAGCAAAACGGAAGCTAACATATCAAGCTAACGTTATCTTAAACATTTTATTTACCTACTGGAGCAGATTAAGATGAGGATGTCTCACTTAGATCGTTGTCGCTGGTTTCATCATCACCCAGTTACCCATCACATTTAGTGAAGTGGACCCAAGCTTTAGCGTACGTTCTTTCTACCATGCTGCTCTGTTTACAACTGGCTCACAGCGACCGACGACATAACGCTCTTGCGCATGCGCAGCTGTCTAGGCAAGTTCTTGTTATGAAGGACGGGTACCGAAACGAGGCACCGTTTCAAATGACGTGAATCGGTGCTCAGTCGGTACTATGGAATTCGGTCGGTACCTTAAAAAGTACAGAATTCGGTACCCATCGCCAATTATGAATATTAGTATTTATCTTATTTACTTAGTTACTTAGATCCATGATGTATAAAAATGGCTAAATCAAATGCGTCTGTTGCTGCTTTACTGTAAAAGACGAGGGTTACGTATATTAGATGTAAAACCAGATTCTGTGCTTTCAGGGTTTGACCCCAGAAGAGCCTCTTCTGGGTCCCTTTGCTGACCCCAACCTGCCCCAGGTGGGGTGGTGCTTTCAAGTCCAGGTGAAGCATCTGATCACGCCCAACGAGGTATCTGCTCACCACACAGTTCAGGTGATGTGTTCAGAGGTGTTAGCCAGCTAAAGCTGGATGGCGTCTTTGTCCCGCAGCTGTTCCTGTGTTTTCTGGAGGACGACGTGCTGGTGGACGGGGAGACTCTGGATGAAGCTCTGGACAGAGTCAATGCAAACATTCACTCTCTGCCTCATCTCTCCAGCTTTCCTCCTGGTGAAACTTTACCTTGTTTCCACTTTCAATGTTTCTAACTTGTGTCTCGAAACAAAGTTTTTGACACAGAGCTGATATTAAACTCTGAAAAATGACTTATCGTACATGTAATGAATAAATGTTCTTAAAATGATGGATTTTATAAACAAATAATTTCTTCATGCAATAATCAGTATTTTTGAAGGACTTTTTTTTCTGCCTGGATATTTAAAGACTATAACAACGCTGCTCATCACACTAGTGATGTGGGTTTGTTATACACTCCTCGACCTCCCACACCTAACTCTGTGGGGAAAATTAAACCCATTAGATCTGCAGTTTATGTCTGGTGCCAACAACTGTGTCAGGTCCAAAGTCTCCGTCTCCAGGTCTAGATGTCTAAATGCTGTAACTTGCTGCCATGCTAATGTTTAACACTCGATTTTTATTGGAGGTCATGAAGACTCGTCTTCCCCCTGTTGCAGTTGTTCTGACTTCTGTCGTCCATCTCACCGTGTTCTTCAGGTGGTGCGTGTCTGGCAGAGTACAGCGATGGCCACTACTACCGGGCCAAACTGGTCAAGTTTGCCAGCGTGGAGCCTGTGAAGATTCTGGTCCAGCATGTAGACTTTGGCTCCTACGACACGCTGCCTCCCAGCAAGTACGGACTTCCCACACACGACACTGTAATATGATTAATGTCCAACTGGAGCCAGACTGGTTTATTTCTACACATGCAGCTCCAGGAAGTCGACTTAAAAATATGTCAGCATGCAGATGAGGTAGTTTACTAGTATGCCAACAAGCAGCTAATGTAATCTGCACACAGACATTTGATTGACTAAATGACTTTGGAGCTAAAAAATGATAAATGAACTGCTGGATATGTTGGACTTAGAGCTGAATCATATTTATATCTGCTGGTGCAGACTGGTTGGTCCTCTAGCAGAAATCCAGCTCTAGCTGCTAGCGATGGGTACCGAATTCTGTACTTTTTAAGGTACCGACCGAATTCCATAGTACCGACTGAGCACCGATTCACTTCATTTGAAACAGTCCCGTACCCGTCCTTCATAACGAAAACTTGCCTGGACAGCTGCGCAAGAGCGTTATGTCGTCGGTCGCTGTGAGCCAGTTGTAAACAGAGCAGCATGGTAGAAAGAATGCACGCTAACGCTTGGGTCCACTTCACTAAATGTGATGGGTAACTGGGTGATGATGAAACCAGCGACAACGATCTAAGTGAGACATCCTCATCTTAATCTGCTCCAGTAGGTAAATAAAATGTTTAAGATAACGTTAGCTTGATATGTTAGCTTCCGTTTTGCTAATGGTGCGTTCGCTTTCTCCACGGAACTCAGAATTTCTGACTAGAAGAACATGAACGCACTCTGAAGTTTGGCTTCACTTTACTAAATGTGACGGGTGATTGGGTGAAGATGAAACCAGCGACAACGATCTAAGTGTGAGGCATCATCGTTTTAATCTGCTCCAGCAGTTAAACTGTTTTAAGATAACGTTAGCTTGATATGTTAGCTTCCATCACCACCATTGTTATCAGCTAATGGTGCGTTCGCTTTCTCCTCGGAAATTCTAACTTCCCAGTAGGAAATAACAATGAAAAAAGACGGCAAAAGGAATGAAGATACACAGTAAATTTAGTTCACAGTAAAGATGTTTGCTTCAGTTTAATTATCAGCTTATAAAACTACAAGGACGATGTTAAAATACAAACAGTTGTATGTTATTTATCGTGATATTTATCAAATATGGTTATATATTGAGAAAAATATATATTTAATTATAAAAGAGAATTAAAATATTAAACACTCAAAAGTATCTAAAATTGGTACGGTTAAGTACCGGTATCGATTCCTAGGTACCGGGAATTAGTACCGAATCTATTCAAATGTCAAAGGTACCCATCCCTACTAGCTGCACCGGGAGCTGGTTGACCTCATGAGCATGAACAAATGCACAAACTTGTTAGCTTTAAATACTCCATGTGCAGTTTATCTACTTATCTATTTGCTCTTTTCTCATCAGGCTTCTACAGATGCCCACAGAGCTCCTGCGATTTCCACCTGAAGCCATAAAAGTAAAAGTAGTCGGCTTCCAGGCTCCAAGTGTGAATTGGCACGAGGATGTGCTATCCTACAGCCCCGAGTGGAGCGTGAAGGCTTTGATGGAAATGGTTGACCTGTTACACGGCAGCATCTCAGCAACTGTTGTGGTAAGACTGTGTGACGGTTTCTGAAAATTATCTTTGATTTTATCTTGGATTAACAGACCTGCCAACCTCGTCAAAGTTTTTTTTTGTACCGCATGCAAAGCGTTTTTTCGCAGACTTTTGCAACTCTGTTGATTTCCACGCTGTAATGTCGCCATTCACTGGCTGGAAACGTCTTCTTGAATAGTCCAAAGTATCGTGTATTTTAATATTAAACAGTAAAACTCAAAAGTTGCAGTTTCTTACCTTACATAAGTGTGCTTATACAAGCTGATAGCCACGAGTTACTTGCATTGAATTATTTCAATACCTAATTAATCCTAACTAATTTTAATATGTATTGATATGATTTGTTTCGTATATTAAAACAGGTGGTTCTGTTTTCATGAATGTAATATTAAATTGGCTTGAAGCACATTTTCACACACCACCGGGGCTAATTTATACATTACCTGCATCTCCCTGGTGACTTATGTCACATAATGATTGCAGATTAAGCAAAATGCGTGGTGAAGTAGTTTAGAGGGTCGCAAGCATGGCCACATTTTTTTATTCGGTTTCTTTTTTCTCTCATTAATTTGGCATAAAAAATGTCATTTATTCATCCTTCCTGTTTGTTTTGTACTAAGCTGAATTGGTTCTCTTTCTAGTTTCTAATGTGGAAAGGACAATTCCAACAAATTTTTCCACTTCCTTCATCTTTAATCTGCTCTAATTATAACATGTTTTATTTCATGGGTGATAAATATAAACTTTTGAAATCAAGGGCGTCAGTTTGTTTTCAGAATTGCTGGGGACAATAACCATACACTTGAGTGGGGTTTAAAAATTGCTGGGGACAATAAAGTAGGCTAGCACAGGGGTCGGCACCCCACGGCTCTGGAGCCGCATGCGGCTCTTCCATCCATCTGATGCGGCTCTCTGTGCTTGTAAACAGACATCAGAGCTTTATACTGGACACTGTGTTCAGCGCGGCTCGGAGCGCCCACGGTGGACAGTGGGCTGAAGATCTGTAGAGGGGTTCGCAGCGCAGTGCAGAACCACGGTGCATGCGATAAGATTTCCTCCCACTTAAGCGGTCTGGAAACCCGGTCTCTCTGAGGGATGTGTCACTTGGAAAAATGTTCTTTTTTATGAAATTATGAAACTTTGGCTGAATAGCGCTTGTTCCCATCTCTAATATGGACACGCATGACACATCCGCTCAGAAAGCACTGTAGAGACATTTGATCACGCACAAAGTTTATGTGGAGCAGAAGCGGTCGGGCCACAGCAGGTGAAACGTTCCTAGCCTACATGAAGTGAAAATGTTTAATTGTAACATTAATATGTTACTGGTCATGCTGGTCTGGTGGGTTAGACCAGTGTTTGAAGTGGAAAACACACACACACACACACACAGACCAATTAAAATAATGCTGATAGGGTGGACTAGAAGACAGGTGATGGTTTATGTATTTAAATGATGATCAGGCTGCTGTAAAATGTAATCTCCATCCACATCCAGACAGAATTATCCTCTATTCTTTCTCTATTTGCTCTGCTCTTGTCTGGGCTGAAGAAGCTGACGGAGTGTGCGACGTGCCTAACTAGCGGCTGATGCACATTTTACGCATTTGGAGAGGTGGGCTGGATGCTTTGCTTTTACTGGAAGATGGTCCACTTAACGCACGGGTGTAGACTACATATTAATGACAAATGAACGAAAATTAAATTGTGTCATTTTTTAGAAATAAAAATGACGGGGAAAACATTTATGACGTCTTTTTAAACGAAATTTTCTAGCGTGACCTGCCTGCTTCACTTAAGTCACTGCTTATTAAGGTCCGTCCAAAATTACCGTGGCCCACCCAAAAATGAAAACCTGGTGCCGCACCTGTTATAAACCTCTGCAAACTGTTGTTCTTCACTTTATCAAACTCAGACTTTGTACAGCTAATGTCAAGGTGTAAAATTATGAATTCAGTTGAGCTCTTCCGTCCCTCCCTCTCCTGTTTCTTCTGGAAACCCGACATCAGCTGTCAGAAGCGGGAGGTGAAGGAGATGAGGCAAACAGAGTGAGTGCGACGTAAAGAATCCAGACTGGTGTGGAGGTGAGCAAAACAGCTGGAAAAGTGTGGGTGTTTAATCCCCCACGGGTGCGATGCCAAAAGTGTGGGTGTTGAATGATCTCAATAAGAAAAGTGTGGGTGTTGCATCCCCCCCCCATGAGATCTGAGCTGGTAAAACAAAAATCCTCATCAGCAGGCTTTTTTGAAAGTGGGGGGGGGACACAGCTGCCTATCACAAATTTTGCCGGGGACATGTCCCCGGCGTCCCCGGTTAAAATGACGCCTATGCTTGAAATAAACGTAGCCTACTGTTTATAAACCTGTCGTACTGAACAGCATGTTGCTAACACGATAATCCAAACTCACAATACATGATTGAAGAAAGTGGCCTTCTTTAGACAATGATCCTCTAAAGCCGGGCGTACACTGTGCGACTTTTTCACTTTTTTGAGCAGATTTTCCAGTCGTGCGAGAATCCACAAGATCGGGGCGAGTTTTGCGCTGAGCGTCGTGTAGTGTACAGGGGGTTACGAGAGGCGATTAACACCACGTGACCAGCTACCGATCAGCAATCGTGAGCTCGCACGGACTTCTGGCGTGTTTGATATTTTGCTCGTCCCTCGTGAGGGTATCGCACTGTTGAAGCGGCGCTGCGAGCAGCTGCGACCCAAAAAGTACCAGAACCGGTCACGGCACATGTGCAATCCTGCATCAACACCGCTCGCCCGCTATTTCCCTAATAACTCGCGCTGTTCATTTTTGTTTCTACACGTTTTTTTTACTCACAAAGATTGTCGTGTTCATGTCAAATTAAACTGATCACAAAACAGATTTACTTTCTTTATTTCGTTTTCCTCATCCAACCCCCATAAATCCCTGTGTGTCCTCCTGCAGCACTCCCGAAGGACAACAGGCAAGAGAAAAAAGTCTGACGTGTTGTGTAAAAACTGCTATTTTTAGCATATTTTTAGGGCCGACGTTGTTGCTACCAGACATGTGAGCAGTCAGGTCGCATCCGAGAACTGGGTCGTGCAGTGTGAGCACATGACTCGTGATATCTGCCCTGCGAGGAAGTCGTACAGTTTGAGCTGAAGCTGAGTGCTACGAGTGAAAAAGTCGCACAGTGTCCGCCCAGCTTTACAGTCTTTCATGGATTTTGCGTCTACACCACACTGCTGAGTCGTGTTGTCAGACACAAGTACCAGACGTGCACATTTGCTACAGAACTCACGTGTGCAGCTTCTTGTGTAGTGATGAGGGGTGAGTCATACCAGAGTAATTAGATGCCAAATTGCATACTTGCTACGCAAAATGTCTACAGGTTGGCAGATCTGGGTCATCCTAGACAGTTGCAGATTTGAGTATGTTTTTAATTTGGGCTTCTATTTGTCCCGGTTGTGTAGATGAACGAGCCGGAGCTCAAAGTGCGTCTGTACAACCAGGACGGAGAACTGGTTCATCTTCCACTGCTGAACAGCAGACTGGCTGATCTGGCCTGAGGCGGAGCAGAGTCGAGTGCTGATGGTTCTCTCCAGGTTAGGTTGGTCTCACCTGGTTTTATCTTCAATGTTATAATTCAACCTCCATCAGCCAGCAGTCATTCGACTAAATTGACCAACCAGCTGAACATGTGATGGTAACTTATTTTTGCAGGTGTCCTTCCTGGTGTTCTGTGGTTTTTAAGTTTTAACATGTTACGTTGCACAAATCTTTTCTGCTGCAGATTTAATTTGAGTTCAGTCATTTAAACTATTGTTTCACTGCTGCTCTTTAGTTTTTACTTTTGCATTAAGGTTGCACAATGTTTCTGTTCTCCAAAGCATTTACAACGAAAGGCTAGCTTGTTTACCATTTTGTTTGTTTTGTATGATGAGTATTAAAGTATCTCCAGCATTCCAGAGGCTTGCTGTGTTTTATTTACACATGAAGGTGTCCAGATCACAGGAATCGTCATGACAAATGTTTATTTTATAAAAACAATCTACACCCTGTACAAAATAAATAATATTTTACAAACAATAAAAAAACAGACTGAAAAAGAGCTACATCAGTGGTGTGGCATAAATAACTTCATGTTTTCAGGATTTAAGTTGGAGCACTTGATTCCAGCAGCCACCCCACCCGCTGCTGAGTTTTTATGCCTGCTGGTCCTGGATGACGTTGCCATCTTTGTCTTTGACCCTGACCCGTCCTGTCGGGTAGCGGGTTTCCTGCCTGCCATGGGCATAGACCGTCTTCACCGTGCCGTCTGGATACTCCCGCCTTTTGAATTCAGCGGTGTGGATCTCCTTCTGACCCGTGTTGAAATGGATTTCTTTAGTGTTGTCCCTAAAATAAAAGCAGCACCCAGTAGTTAAAGTAAACAAACTGGCTGTTTTTTTTTTGTTTTTTTTTTTATCAGCGCAAAAATGGTTTGCTTGTGTACTTGACATTTACTCTAAAAAAAGATTGAAATGTTCTCCCAGAACCTTAAAGCTTAACCATAAGTTTGACTGCAGCAGTGAGCTGGGCTGTGCAGAAAAAACTGCGATAAACTTTTTTAATGTAGCACTTGTGCAACACCTTTTCAAGTCACTTTTCCCCCAGAATTTTATTGAACCAAGGTAAGTTGCTTATTTTGTTAGGAAGATGCTTTTTACTGAAGAAGACTTTTATATATCGCCTTTTACGATAAAAATAACGAGGCACTTCACAAAAACAAAAACATTTTTTAAATTACGTATAAAAATATTTCCAATATGTTTAAAATGAGAAAAGAAAAAATGTAAGGAAAATTAATAGGACAGAGGAAAATCAATGGAACTCAGGAAAGGCGATAAGAACAAAAAGGAGAGTGTGGTGATGAAGGTCACACTAAAGCCTGAACAGGTGAGTTTTCAGCTGCTTTTTAAAGGATACCACTGAGTCCACCAATCTCAGGCTCAGGAGGAGAGAGGTCCAGTGCACAATGTGCTAAAAGGTGCTGTAAGGAAAGTGTTTTATGGTTAACCATCAATATGCTTTATGGAAAATAAGGTTTGATCACATGTATTCCTGAATGCTTATAATTAATCATCTGTGTTCCTCATGTACCTTTAAACTGAATGATGCACATAGTACATGAATGATTCAACTGTGACTGGTACAGCCTAGCACCGAGTTAGACCTGTATCAGATGTATGCATGTTTGTATTGCTAAAAGTGTCTGCTTGTGCTGGAGGAGATTCTCAGCAAGCGAAGGCCAGGTGCAGATTAGATCATCTAAAAGCTGTTCAAAGGGAAAAGGCCAGGGCGTAGGTCATCCCAGCCGTAGCAAAGTAAGATAGGATAGGAAGCAGATGGGGCAAAGTGTCTCCCATCTTATTTGGAGGAGAGTGAAAACAAGAATGTCAGTTACCAAGGCCTTCAATAAAGTTAGAGAGGTGTCAGCAGGAGACCTTGCAGCAGGGGAGAAAGGATAAAAGGTGTGCATCTGGTAAAATCTTCAGGTTTGTCACTGGGACTGAAGGTGGCAGGATCTCCTAATGCATATGGGTAAATAAAGCGTGATTGAAATAAAAGGCGACCTGGTGGCTGGCTTCTTGTCCGATCAGAAATGAACGAACCGGGAAGGTGGAAAACATTTTGAGGAGCTACAGAAAACCAGAGACATAATTTTTCCTCTAAAACACACATCAACAACCAATCTTCCACAACAGTGCTGTGGAGGAAAATGGAAACCAGTAAAGGCAGAGACCGTCCAAAGTTTGGGAAGAAAGTGCAACTACGGGAAGATTAGCTAATGCTAGCAGGTAGCAGGCTCATGATCAAGTTCTAAAAAACATGATGGTTGTGAAACTAAGAAAATTTAAACTCTAAAAACGGAAGAAAATTCCCCATCATCCTGTTTATTCTTAGCTGTCTGCAGCCCTGTGGAGCAGAACCGCAGCAGTCTGCTCCATTCGCTGAAGCAGGTATATGGCAAACCACTATAGCATTTAATTCACCAACGCGTCTATCTTCAAACATTTTAAAACAGATTATTGCTAACCTGTACATAAAAGATGTGTCACCATTCCATTTTAGAAGTAGAAATTAAATTATTGGCATTTCCAGTACCACTAAACATGTTAACTATATTAAATTATACTGATCACAGTTTAACTGTGGGTATATTTATATATGTTCTTTTGATTAAGATGAGTGATATTAATGCAAGTAAATAAAATGTTACTGAAATGTAGGTACTTTTTTTCCCATAAAATATCGAACTATAAATATCAGATGGGAAAGGGAACTATATAACACGAATTTAACACAGATTATAGGTCACCTAAGTCACGCCCATCTACTTCCGGACCATGGTTACCCGGAAGAACGAAAAAACAAATGCAAGTCAATGGGGCTAAAAACGCTATTTTCTAACTCAGCTTGTTATGTGCCATGGATTTCACATATGATGTCCGTGAATCTTAAAAACACGTTTTGATACCAAGAATGCGCTTATTTTTTAACTGGGAGAAACGTTATTTTAAGTTTTGCGTGAAAATAAGTCCAGGACTACAAATGTGCTTCACAAGAGAGACGTCATCGAACCAGACGCGGAGAAACAGAGGGAAACTGGCTGTAAGTTCAGCGAACTTCAAATACTTTGTTCGGGAGGACAGAACCACCATAAATCTGGCCATTTGGTAAGTAGCAGCTACGCTAGGGGAGAGGAAACTGGTGACATCACATGTGAGACATGCCGATGGCCTTGTTTGAGTTGAGCAGCGCCTCGCCTGGAAAACAGACGAGAGCAGACGGACACAGCAGGGGGAGTGGCTGAAAGCTAGCATTTAAGTCGGACAGATGTCCCTATGTATAGATCACGGGTGACTATGGATGAAGATATCGTGTTAGCATTCATACTTGTTTATTTTAATTCTGGTGCCTTTTAGCAACCAAAACACATCCTCACATGCTTGTGAATATCATATATTGTATATGAAGATAAGTAAAAGTTATCAGCTGTAGTTTTAGTGTGCTTATAGGAAATGTGACGAATAACATTTCTCTTTATGGCCTATATAGTTGTCATCATCAACGTAATATGATTTATAGAATACATACGACCAACTAACATTTTGTATTCTACCACCAGATGTTTGGGTCAAAATATGAACCAATCTGATCTTAGATCAGGTGAGAACCAGGCGTTTCCCATCATGCTCTAGGTTTTGCAGCAGGTGGAGAGCAACTGCAGCGCCTTGGTCCAAAATCTGTGGCAGCCTTGATCTCACGAGGTTATCGTTGCCTACGTATGCATGACATCAGAGCAAGTCGGCATCAAGTCGGACACAAATCTAACCAGCAAGCACTGGGCACCGATCACCGGTGATCCAATCTGCGCAGAACTGGCTCATCTCGAATACGGCCGATGTCTGATTTGTAATCATGCTTAGAGCAAACTTTTACAAGCTGATAAATCTCAAAGCACATGACTGGTGTGGTCGAAACACCCATCATTACTTTTCATTTAAATTGCAGTACAACATATGTGCGATCCAGGGCGTAAAGCAAAGCAGATTAGTAAGTAGCGCTTTTAGCCCCGTTGACTTGCTTTCATTTTTTTGTTCTTCCAGGGACCCATGAGCCGACCGGAAAGGAAGGAGACTTAGGCTCCCTAAAGAGCCTTTTGTAGCAAGAGTCTGACATTTCAGCCTCATAATTTTGTAGTTTTATTTCATAGCAGCAGACCACGGTCTCGTTGCACTTGAAAAATGTCAAATGGAATATTCGATTGATCAAAAGATTCACTAGAATATTCAAACACTAAAATATCCAATAGCTGCAGTCCTATTTTAAACCTTTAACAGAACAGAAAAACAAACAAGAAGAAACAAAAATACAACCTGCAACAAACCAAGGTATGTCTGAGAAGGGAAAAGTTTATAAATACAACACGGCTGTCATGTACTTGAACAATCATTTGTAAACTTGTTGGGTTTTTAGTGAATGTAAACCACTGACAAGAATGCCTGAAGATATGCAGTATATGAAGATGTGTAGTATATGAAGATACGTAGTATGTGAAGATGCGTAGTATATGTAGATATGTAGTATATGAAGATGTGTAGTATATGAAGATACGTAGTATGTGAAGATACGTAGTATAAGAAGACGTGTAGTATATGAAGATAAGTAGTATATGTAGATACATAGTATATGTAGATACGTAGTATGTGAAGATATGTAGTATGTGAAGATGCGTAGTGTGTGAAGATGTGTAGTATGTGAAGATGCGTGGTATATGAAGATGTGTAGTATGTGAAGATGCGTGGTATATGAAGATATGTAGTACGTGAGTTATCACGCTACCAGGAAGTTGCTTTGGTGGTTGTTATTGTGTTTTAATTACATACACAGCTGTTTGTCAGTGTGTTTAAGTAATTGTAAGAACTACTTCTGGTTTTTAGAGATTGTACCAATTTTTTTCTCATGCTGGTGCTACAACTTTTTGTTCTGTGCTACAAAACCAACGACCTTTGCAGCACCGGTGCTATAAGCTAAAAATGTTAACATACAGCCCTGCTTTGGGGTTTACTTACGGGTTGACGCGTATAACAGTGCCATCCGTCAGCACACTTTCCTCCCTGCCATCAGGAAACAGGTTCTTCACTGTTTGATCTGGGAACGTGATTTCCTTACGACCATCTGGAAAATGTTTTTCTACAGCAAAAGAACATTATTTTAGATTCTAGATGCACATAAAATATTATCTCCCCTCTGATATGCAGTTTCATCCCAGCTGTCTCACCTGTCTGGTTGTTGGGGAAGAGCAGGACCTCCACGCCGTCGGGGTATGTGATGTGTGTGGTCTGGGCCTCTGAGTAGTAGTAGATCTGAGGACATGAAGAGACCACAGTTTACAATCCGAGGTTTAAAGAAGGATTATTGGTGTGTTCTTATTGTGACTAGTTTCTAATTCCATTTTTGGTTCTTTTTTAAAACACAGAAAAGGTTTCTCTTTACCTTGCTAACGTTTCGTTTGCGGCTGCAAACATCTTCAGAGATGACGCTGATGGTGGCGTCACTTCCTTCGTTTATCCGCGGGCAGCAGAGGACGTTGTTGCCCTCTGCTGCCCGCTCTCCCCTCTCCGATGATGCAGTCCCATGAGCGATCCAACGAGTAAACTCCATCGTCTCTGTTCATGGTCCCACATCCATGTCTCCTTATCTCTATGGATTCTTTTATCCATCTTTTGTATTTCTGTTGTTCGGTGTTTATGGCTCTTGTGTTGTCTCAGTCCATTATGTGGTTTTCTCTTGTGCAGTGATCTGTTACGGCTGACTTCTTTATTGTGCTTTCTGCTTCTTCTTTTGCTGCTCTTGTGTGTTTTTGACTAGTTTCTTTCTCACACTCTTTTCTATGTTCTATTGTTCGTGTGTTGAGTTGGCATCCAGTTTCTCCTATGTATGTTTTATTGCAGAGTTTGCATGGGATTTCGTAAACGACTCCACATTTAAAGCCTGATTCATGCTTCTCCGTGCCTGCCGGAGAGCTCCACAAGGACGGACGGAGTCGAGCTCTCTTTTCTAAACATCTGTCAGTCGAGACGGACAACGCAAGCTTGTGATTGGTCAGGACGCCGCTGTTGTCTACAGCGCTGCCATTGCTCCCTCAAAAACATAAACAGAGCTGAAGATAACTAGTGGCAGACACGGAGAAGCTTGAAGAATACCTCGCGAAAAACCTCTAAAAACATGAACGTTTAATTCCCCCGTGACTGAAGGAGTGAAAAGATGCGCAGCAAGCGGTTTATTTGTGGACGGAAATGACAGGAAACGTGGGTTTAGAGGTGGGGAGCGCATGAAGAGGTGGAGGAGAATGAGAGACAAATTTGTCGGTGTTAAAAAGTCTCTTATTTACAAAAAAACATAGTATAAACACACTATCTTGGACCGATACATGACAGGGTACCACAGAACAGCGCTACGTCCTCTGTTGTCCTGCCGGGCAATTGCTTTACAACACTCTCCAGGAGACGGAGAAGTATGAGAGCAAAACGCTTCCGTTAATCCGTGCATGTCTGTCCCTTGCGGAGCTGATGGAGAAGCAAGAACCAGGCTTAACCGAACAACAGAAATACAAAAGATGGATAAAGGAAGACATAGAGATAAGGAGACATGGATGTGGGACCATGAACAGAGACGATGGGGTCTACACATTGGATCGCGCATGGGACTGCATAATCGGAGAGGGGACAGAGGGCAACAGAGGGCGACAACGTCCTCTGCTGCCCGCAGATAAACAGAGTAGGAAGTGACGCCACCATCAGCTCTGAGGATGTTTTGCAGTCAGCAAACGAAACTTTCAGCAAGGTGTAGCGGAAATCCACATTTTATATCCTCAGATTAACTTTGTTTGCATTCCCACGAAGGAGAACATAACTATTTTCACAAAGTTTTTCCTCTCACATTTAGCAGAAGAAAATAAAAAGGGTAATTTGAAACTGTCCCACAGTTCGAACATCTCGCTAACTCCTACATTTTCTCCCAGGAACATAAATTTTACCAAGTGACTTGTTTCCCTCCTTAAGCAATCAAAAAGATGAACATTATCAGGACTTGGTCTGGTCCATGTCAACCTGCCAAGACCTGACTCTTCCCCAAGGTTTGAATGCTTGTAAAACCTTCTCAGGGCATGTTCTGGAAGACTCCAGAATTTAGTCTTTATCAAGACCCTGATCCACAGTTAAAAGGTGTTTAGATTTGTTCACCATTAGAAATCAAGGTGCTCTAAGTTTAAAATCTTATCAGTTACAAACTTAACTGCTTGTTTTGTGTTTTTCTTTTACATTAAACCTCTGCCAATTTTTGCTTCTCCAGTTAAAATTCATGCTAATGGTAAAACTGTTCAGTTTTAAGACATGAATTTTATTCTTTCCCGTTTAAAGTAGTACTTTGATGCTAAAGTAATACTTTTTGAGGCTTTATGAATAACTGTGTTAAATTGTGATCATGGACTTTCCATCTTTGAGAAGGTAGAGTTTATTTGAAAGAGCCACAGTGCCATCCAGTGTCCAGTGGTTAATGAGTGAAATACATGTGGGTGTGACCAAGAAGTTTATAAAAATCAGAGTTCAGACTCGTGGTGGCAGGAGAACAAAGAAGAAAGATGCCTTAAGCAAACCTCTGCTTGGCTTTTCATCTGGGCCCAGCACCAGATAACCCGACTCTCATAAATTTGTTAAGCCATTAGCTCTCAAAAGTCACGGTAAAATCAGAAGCAACCCCGTTTGTTTGACTTTCTACGTGAAACCGGAAGTCTGCCTGGCGGTCGAGTTCTCACTTTAAGAGAAAGAGCAATTTGGAACAGTTTGATGATTCGGCTCTGTATGGGATAATTTGGGCCTGCGATCTGAATTCCACGTTTCGAGGCCGCTGAAGAGAAGGAACCTTGAGTTAAGCCACTACAGGAGAACACCTCCTTCTATACACCACAGACACCATTGACCTAAGCTGAGGTGACAAAAAGTCCTACAGCCCCTGAAGGCCGCATTCAAGCTTCTGGACCGGCTGAACCAGCCCACAGGACACCTCTTTGGCGACAGAAAAAGGTCTGTGAAGCATTTCATCTGGCTGACTTTTGTGCTAAGCCCGATTAGTGAATTCAGATTAGTCCATTTCTTTATAGCGTGTTTTTATTTCGATCCCAGATTCACGTTTAGCCTTCAAGATCCCCTTCCTTCTTCTGCCATAACGAGCCACCCGAACACTCACTCACTCACTCACTCACTCACTCACTCACTCACTCACACACACACACACACCCTTGGTTCTCCTTTTAGAAATTATTCCCCATTGTTCTATAATCCTGGTGTCACCGAATTTCCACCTTTATTACGGATCAGTTATTTCCTATCACTGCCATAAAGCTTTGGGTTAACAATTTTCGTAATTCCATGCATGAAACTAAGCTGTGTTTGGTCCTTTTGTCAATGTATTAACTGATGTTGTAATAAATTCACAAAACGGAAATAACGCCTGATTTGTGTCTAGCAATTCTCGGGAATAACCGGCGCATTCTGTCAAGAATTCAGGCTTTGGATTAATTTGTGGTGTTAACTCTGAGACTGATTACATTGCGAAGATATGGATATTAAATCCAACGGTCCAGTTCCGAAAACTGGTGGTGCCCCGATTAACTAATATAAGATTATAAACGAGCTAAATCTACGCCACATTTGAAATATAGATATAAATCTATATCGCTACAAAGGTAAAGAGAAACCTTTCCTGTGTTTTAAAAAAGAACCAAAAATGGAGATTAAAGAAGGATTTTATCTCGTGAGAAAACTCACCACTCTCTGATCAGCTGTGATCTGTTTGGTGTCTCCGTTAAAGAAGGTGACCTTTGCTGAGAGCCCATCAGCTGTGATCTCCTTCCTGGTCCCGTTAGGGAAAACGATGAGTCTGTCACCGCTGGCAAGAACTTTCTCAACCTAACCACACCGGAATGAGAGGTCAGTAAAAACTCCCCACAGCCTGATGCACCCTTGCTACACACCAGTTACCTGAATATACCGCTGTTTGTTACAGCTGGACTTTAAATGCTCCTTTGAAGTAACCTCAGTAATACGTCTGAAGAAACATAACCTGCTCTGATCCAGATGCTCAGAGCTGAACATGTTTGGTGGCTCTGGTGATGAACCCGGTCTCACCTTTCCATCTGGGTGTTTGATGACCTCCTGAGGTGTCTGCAGCTCGTTGGACTCGCAGCTTTCTGCTTGTTTTGGCACCACATCTGTTTTCTGTTTTTGAACAAAAAGGAACAATAGTGACTCAAGCAGGCCTCTGACTCTACTGGACTGAGTTTTACCTTTATTGTTTGAATAAATGACATTTTAGTAGTCGTGTTAAATGTTCTGAATCAGATGCAGGTTAACCTGCAGACAACAGTAACGATCCGCCTCTTACTGGAGATCGGTCCTGGGAGAATTCCTGGTTTGGTGCTTCTTGATCCCAGCTGGCAGCTCCTGGTTTCTCCTCCACCATTCTGACAGGTAACAATCCAGCTGACCTCAGACTACTTTTAATCCCTGCTGACAGAACCAAAAGCATTGCTGATGACAGTGTAGCAAACAGAACCTTCTCATCTGGCACCGACTGTTAAGCAGCAGAAGCTCCTCTCTTGTACCTGTAGCTCCTTGGCTGATGTCATTAGTGCTTATTCTGGTGGGGGCTGTTTTCCCAATAAGGGGGGGGCTGCTGCTGCTTCCTCTGGAGTCGAGAGGACTCTGAAAAGAGATTTGAACATGTTTTTATTCTGGCTATTTGTGGCGGGTCACATGATTTGATTCTCGTGAATGTGATGAACAATGAGCTCCTCTGGCTAAAATTAAAACATGTTTTTGCTCTGGAGTTCCAAGCTAAGACAAACTGATCCTTACAGCAAACGTGACTCCTTTGGTGGCCGAGGAGACGCGACTCTCAGATATTCTGAGAACATCTTTAGTTCCAGCGACCTTCTCCGCTGAGGAGTTTCTCTTCAAGGCACTGAGACGCAGTTTCTCCAGCGTTCGGATCTTTGTAAGAAAATAAATATATGAAATATGATGGCATATAGAGGTGTGGGTCATAAAATTAGAAAATCATGGCAAATTTTATTTATTTCAGTAATTCCATTCAAAAAGTGAATTTTGTATGTTAGATTAATGTATTACACACAGACTGACACCGACAACTAATGAAAACCTCAAATTCAGTGTCTCAGAATAATAGAATATCAATTAAGACCAATACAAAAGGAAATTTAGAAATGTTGGCCAACTGAAAACTATGAACATGAAAAGTATGAGCATGAACATCACTCAGTATTTAGTTGGGGCTCCTTTGGCCTGGATTACTGCAGCAATGCGGCGTGGCATGGAGTCCATCCGTCTGTGGCACTGCTCAGGTGTTATGATGCTGCTCTGATAGTGGCCTTCAGCTCTTCTGAATTGTTGGGTCTGGCGTGTTGCATCTTCCTCTTCACCAAGGTCAGGTGAGTCTGCTGGCCAATCAAGAACAGGGATACCATGGTCCTTAAACCAGGTACTGGTAGCTTTGGCGCTGTGTGCAGGTGCCAAGTCCTGTTAGAAAATTAAATCTGCATCTCCATAAAGTTGGTCAGCAGCAGGAAGCATGAAGTTTTCTAAAACTTCCTGGTAGACGGCTGCCTTGACCTTTGACCTCAGAAAACACAATGGACCAACACCAGCAGATGACATGGCACCCCGAACCATCAACATGGATTCTGTTCCTCTCCTCTCTTCCTCCAGACTCCGGGACCTTGGTTTCCAAAGAAAAAATAACTTTCATCAGAGAACTTAACTTTGGACCAATCAGCATCAGTCCAGTCCTTTTGTCTTTAGCCCAGCGCTTCTGATAATGTCTCTTGTTCATGAGTGGCCTGACACCAGGAACCTGACAGCTGAAACCTGTCCTGCATACATCTGCATGGTGGTTCTTGAAGTTGACTCTAGCTGCAGTCCACTCTTTGTGAATCTCCCCACATTGTTGAATGGGTTGTTTCACAATCTTCTCCAGGGTGCGGTTATCCCGGCTGCTTGTACACTAATCTTGTCCTTCCCTTCTCCTCTCTATTAATGCGCTTGGACAAAGAGCTCTGAACAGCCAGCCTCTTTAGCAGTGACCTTTTGGGTCGTGTCCTCGTTTAAGGTATCAAAGGTCGTCTTTTGGACATCTGTCAAGTCAGCAGTTTTCCCCATGACTGTGTAGCCCACAGAGCTAGACTGAGAGACCATTTAAAGTCTTTTGCAGGTGCTTTGAGTTAATTAGCAGATTAGAGTGGGGCACCTGGTGTCTTCAATAAAGAACATTTTCACAATATTCTGAGATACAGAATTTGGGATTTTTAATAGTTGCCAGTTATAACTATCAACATTAAATAAATAAACATTTGAAAAGTATCAGTCTGTGTGTAATGAATTAATCTAATATACAAGTTTCACTTTTTCAGACCTGCCAACCTTGTCAAAATTTTCTGAGTACCCCTTATGCAGCGTTTTTTCATGGACTTTTGCAACTCCATTGCTTTCCATGCTGTAATCTCCCCATTCACTGGATGGAAAATTTTTCTCGCGCGCACACACACACACACACACAGTTTACCTTACCAGAACAGAGTGAGTGGCGAACCGGAGGGAGCCGCGGGCAGGACGAAGCAGAGAGGAGGGGGGCGGGGGTGTTGCGCTATAGGCTAGGCAGGATAGATTTTCTACGATGATTGGCTTAAACTTCTTCACCGCGCCGCTGAGTCGTGTTGACAGACATGAGTACCACACGTGCACATTTGCCACAGAACTCAACTCACGTATCCGTAGCTTTTTGCGTAGTTTAGAGGGGTGAGTCGTACCAGAGTAAATAGATGCCAAAATGCGTACAGGTTCGCAGGTCTGCTTTTTGAATGGAATTACCTTTTTTGTGATATTCTAATTCTCTGACCAGCACATGTATAAACATAAAATCTGTAGTTTTCTTTAGTTGGGCAGGGAGACTTCTCTCTGGACAACTTTCTAAAAAATGAGGCCAGACTTTTGTTCCACTTGGCTGAGCTGCAACAGAATCCATATTTGGTGACCAATCTGGACTCAGAAGGTAATAAAGGGGCAGAAACCTCGTCCCGGAGGGAGCTGTTCTCCTGGTTGAGGGAGTCGATCTGCTGTTTCAGCCGGCTGTGTGTGCAGGACCAGCGACTCTCCTTCCTCTTCAGCTCCTCCTGCAGGGAGCTCAGCTGCTGCTTCAGCAGCTGGTGATGGACAGACACAAAAAATTTAAGAGTGATTTAATCTTTCAAGTAAAAATCCCATTTTCCACTGTTGTGTGTAATAAAAGTGGGTCAGAAGTGAACCTGGATCTCCTCTCGTTCCTTCTTATCAGGAATGGCTCGGGCCAATGACGCATGTTTCTCAAAAAGTTTTCTCTCCTTCTGCAGTTTTCGGTTTTCCTCCCTCTTGTGTTCCTCGAACTTGGCCAGCTCCTCCGTTTTTTTGCGCTCAAACTCCAAACGCTCTTTTCTGCAACAACACAACAGGTCCGGTTCATTGTAATCAGGATGAATCTGTTGTTATTTATTAACTGATGATTGGGTCATTTCTAAATCCCATTGTTGTATGTTCTCACCTGAGCTCTTCCTGTTTTCTCTCGTTCTCTTGTCGGAGTTTGACAAGGGCGGCGTTCTCCTTTTTAAATCTGCCGATTTCAATCTCCAGCTCAGCCAGTCTCTCTCTCAGCTGTCTGGACTGGACCTGCTGGGCTGTGGGAGGGTGCACACACAACAGAACACAGGATGGAGCTGGTCACGTTTAATCTGAGAGAACTCCAGAACTTTAATCCTAAAGTGTTTCTTAAAAGGATCTGATCCTGTGTGTTAACCAACTGTTGCTGCTCATCATCTAGGAAGGGTTAAAGGTCATTTTTATGTATTTTGATTACAACTGAGGTTTATTGATGTTCTTACTAACTTCTGTTAACTTCTTCCCATCTTATCTAGATTTTATTATCGATCCATCTTGTTGTCTAAAGTGTTTTAACTGATGCTGTTTTTATTCATTTGTGCAACGTTCCCTCCATAGTTGTAGAGCTCTTGGCGTAAAGGTGCTGTATAAATAAAGTTATTATTTCCAAACATGGGAGTTCTACAGAAAGATTGTTTAGAAGTGGATGTCCTAGCAAAAAGAAACATCCAAGAAGTCTGTCAAATGGGACAGACCATGACAGGAAAACTAGAAAAGACTGAAGAAGTTTGGCTTGTTTGGAACACATCAGCACAACCAGCTGTCGGCACGGCGGTGGAGGACTGATGGTTTGGGCTCCTATCATTAACTCCTCTGTAGAGCAAATATGGTCAAACATATTTGAGAACAAAACCAAAATGAACAAATGGCCCTGATAGGAAGTGTTTGGCTGACCTGTCTCATCTTTTGGTCTGTTGGACTCGGGAGCAGGAAGGGGGAGAGGTGTATTCTGGGCTTGTGGCTTTAGTGAGGGGAAAAACCGGCTCATGAGTTGTGAGGCGGGAGGATCCGGCACCAGGTCTTTACCCACATCCACCACCTTGGCTGCTACCTTCCTTAACAGGACCTTCTCTGGCGGCGACGATTTCCTGACTGCTGGACTGGAATCTGGGTGAAACTCTCTAGAGTCATCTGTTCTGCTTACAGCCGTCTCATCCAGGTCATTCCACGTGTCATCATCGTCAAACACAACCCTGCCCTGCTGGCTGTCTCTGTCCTCTATCAGCGTGGAGTCATCAGAACTGCTGGGGACACCCTCACTTTCTCCTACGTCCTCCTGTCCAACATCTGATGATGAATCCCTGCAGCTTCCCTCATCCTGGTAAGACCACTTGTCATAAGGAGGATCAGACGTTTCCGTGAAGCAAGCAGTGCCTTTGATCGCTACTTTGTCTCCAAAATCAGAAGCGCATCCAGATGATCCGTCAGAGACCTCGTGTTTGCCTTCCTCCTCACTGCTCTGTCCATCTTCACGCTCAGAGCTCTCGTTGTTCTTGAGTGCATCGCTTCTTATCGTCACCCCAGGTGTTTCTGGCTCTGCACCTGCCGGGCAGCGCTGCTGAGGTTCACTTCTGCCGGGCAGCTTAATAGGAGTGGAGGAGAGTCGTCTCCTGTGGAGCCCCACAGCAGCCTGTCGCTTTTGCTGGTCCATCTGAAGAACCTGCCAGGACAGAGAAGAGGTCACATGATCACACGTCTTTACTGTGGTTGGATGTTCTGTAGCATGGAAACTTTCCCGGTTTACTTTGAGGGTAAATTCTGATGAGAAGTTCTTCTACATGTATCTGTGTGGTTGTGTGAACAGCACCTTCATGACAAACGAGGAGTTGGATGAGAAGGACAGCTCCTCTGCTGCCTCCTCCAGCAGCTCAAACTCTCCCAGCTCCATGCTCTCCATCTGCCGGTCTCTCTCCCAGTGCCGCAGCTTCTCCTGGAACGACTCCAAAGACTCCATGGGAACTCGGACGCCCTTCTCCGAGTCGCTTCTTACTTCTGCTGATTCCACTTTTGAACCAGAACTCTTCTTATTATCAGTATCACTGTCAGACATTGTTTGTCCTCCCAGCACCTTTTTGGTTACAGGGTTCTGCTGCATGTTTGGGCTGCAAGTCCTCAGAACCTGAATCACTTTCCTCCCACTGTGCTCCTCAACATGGCCCGGTTGATTCTTGGTTTTTATGGCCTCTGGTTCTGTGTTTCGTCTTTGATGACAACCCAAAACTTTTTTCCTCTCTGCTCTGGTGTCCTGAGGTGGCGAACAGAGACCTCTCACTCGGTTTTCTTTGTTGAGTACAGCTATTTTACGCTGGACAGGAAGCCGTGGGACACGAGTGGAACTCCCTTTCACAATAACATCAGGAGCAGAGTTGCAGCTGGAGATCACTCTACCATGGGGTTGCAGGTTGTAGTCTTTCTTCCCTGCTTTGTGTTTGTTGGTGAACCTAGAAAGGCCCTGGCCTCGCTTCAAAAAGGGCCTCTTGGGAGGAGCCTGGACAGCCTCTTGCTTCTGTTAACATAAACATTCGCTGTGAGTCCAGCACGCCTCAGAATGTAGCCCAATACCGTGTCAGCAGAGTGAGGCTCTAATGTGTCCAGCCTTCAACCGTTCATCATTTTGCCGTTGCAAATACACGGTCTTACCTGCTGCTGCTGAACGAACTTCAGCCTCTGCTCCTCCAGTCTCAGCTGCTCCTCCAACAGCTCCTCAAATGTCTGCTTCTGACCGCCGAGGCCCGGCTGTATGGGTCTGAGGAGGAGCCACGGCAGACAGCGTGTCTGAGTTGGTTGACTCAGACCAGACTTTCTGATCCCTGTAAACCGCTACACACTCACCTGTCATTACCGACTTCACCAAGGTGTTTGCCGTCACCTTCCCTCTGCACCACACCTTTATGTTGGGTTGATGCATCATCATGCTCCTGCCCGGCGTCAACAGGCATCTCCTCTTCTTCTGTGGTGGTCCACAAAGGAAAGAGTAAGAACTTATCAACAGAGGGAATTTATAAACCAATTATGAGGATAAACACTAGCTGCACCTGTTCTGTGACTAATGAGAAGATGTTGCCTTAAACAGCGTATTTAGCAAAGCTACAGTAAACTCAAAAATAATATGAAACTTTAACTTCTTTGTTGCCCAACAAGATTTACCACACCACACATCCTACTTGCAGGTGAACTGACTAGAGAGGCCAGTAAAAGCATTGTTTCTCACCCTCATCATTTTCACAGCCCTGACACTTCAAAAGCAGCTCCTGTCGTATTGGTGCTGAAAGCTGATTCTCCTGTCCGAGTACGCTGGTTCTCTGTGATCCATTAACAATCCTGTGATGCTCCTCCTGCAGGGACAGCAGCTCCTCCAGCTGGTGGGCCTTCAGCTGCTCCTGCATGTGCTGCTGCCATTTCCTCAACTGCATACAAACACACAACATTACAGATCATTTACACACAACTAGGGCTGCACAATACATCGCAAATGCATCACCATCGCGATATCAGCATGCGCAATACGCACATTGCAAAGAACAGAAAAAAAACACAGTGAGTGGGTAACTCAAATATTTGCTTCCGTGATGCATTTTGTCAAACAAAAGCATGAAGTTTTTACAAATCAAATAGAGCCCTTCACCCATTTGGCCAATCGGGTGGGTTCTGATCAGTTAGATGCCCGCCCCCTAGGCAGACAGCACTTATTTTGGATGGCTAGCAAACACCTGAGTTAGCTTTCCTCTGCTCTTTCTGAAGATTCTGCTTTTCCCGGAATCCACTGACTGACTTTTCTTGGTCATTTTTTCCCCCTTTCCTCACATCTTTTGCTCACAATTTAGCGTTTCCCATTTTTTAAATATTTTTTTAGTCATCTTCTGATTTTTTTTAATTCTTTCTTTTTGATTTTCTGTTCTGAGTTAAGTATTTATTTGAAGCCGTATCGTAATCGCAACATTAATCACCGTTATCGCACATCGCAGGTTTTTCCAATATCACGCAGCCCTACACACAACATGACACTACTCCAGCATTCTCAGGCAGCATGTTTACCTGTGACCTCACGCTGCCTCTAATCCAACTCAGATTAACACCTCAGCAATTAAACCTCACAACACTATGAATAGTCACAGCAGTTCCTGTGATGGGAAAGTTTTAACCCTTTGACCAGAAGACTGTTCTAGTGTAATTTAACTACTGTTACGCTTTGAACTTTATAAGGGCTAGACAAACATAGGAACACTCTCACTGACCAGATCTGCCACGTTTGAATACAAGTGGCCTGTTTGACATCATGTTACAGAAATGTCACTTTTATTCTGTTCTTATTTGCAGCATTTTCTATTCCACTGGATACAAACTATATCTTAAGATCTAAATGCAAATTAAATAAAACTTAGAGCCTAACAACAAAATGAACTCCTTACTTGGTCTAGCTTCATCATAAGAGGCAAGTCTTGCACTTTGTTTGTCAGTCCATTCACCGGCCTGTCATTCCCAGCTGATCCTACACATCCACACACATCAAGGCAGCTGCTGTCTGCAGAGGCTGGCAGAGGGGCGAAGTCAGAGGAGAAGGAGTTGTCGGGATGCAGCGGCGTGGGTGATGCAGGAGAGATGGGTTGTAAGGGTCCAGCCAGACCCACGGAAGGCTTCAGGATCACCCCGGCTCTGCTGCTGCTTGGTATCCACCGGGCCAAGAAATCCGCCTGAGAGCACCGCGGCTCGGTTGGAGATGACATGATGACCGAGTCGCTTCAGGAAGGGTTTGCTAATCCAGGATTCGAAAACAGATTATGGTGACAACACACCCTTTCTGATGCCAAGAGCCAAATAAAATACAATGACTCAATCACATTCAGACGTGTCGTTAAATTACAAACGAGTTTTGTGGCATTAATATTATCACAGCACACAAAATGACCAATAATGATCTAGCAGGACAGTTACCGCACAGTTTAGCAGGACGCCTGATCTGAAATAAGTAATTTATTTGTGGGAACGTCAAAACAGTTAAAAGGCTTGGAGACTCGTAGGGCAAAACGAGAAACAACGTTTTCAGCGGTTATTAACACGACAAAAGAGAAGAAAAATGAAATACACTAAGTCATTCAACATTTCAAAATGCATCGAAGTTACCTGAAACACTCTGGAAAAGTTTTCTTACAGCTTTGAAGAGAAATAAAACATCAAGATAGCCAACAGAACTTTCGAAGCCTGCCGCCATATCAAAACAAAGCCCGCGAGAGCAAAAGGACCAATAATGCATTGTGGGTAATGCAGTTTTGTTTTATCTTTCAAAATGCTCATTTAAAAATTAAACATATATCCGACTTGAAGTAATACGCGTTATAATAATTTCACAAAACGTAAAAACAACAGCGGTAAAACTAGTTTTCATTACATCTTTTCCGTTTATCTTTTCTATTTAGGGCTAAATCCGGTTTATCGGCGCTAACATTTCACATTAATATCCATTAGAAAATTAGGTATGTGATGTACCGTCAATTTGGAGTTTTCTCGTCTTTTCGGTTGGTCTAATTTTACAATTAATTGTATATACAAATACAATAGTAATTTCATGGGAAATGTTACCAAATACAATTTATACGTATGATGTTAACTTTTATTTTGGCATTTCAAAAACCAGAAATGCATTTAGACCATTGCGATTGGTCAATACAAAAAATACCATCAATGAGACGTTCAGGCAAAAAGAAAACGGCAACTGCATTCATTTAGAGCTGTTGGAGAGAATGGAAAAAGTCGTATGTAATACGCATGGTAAGTCGTGATTACAACATTCAACATTATTTATTGCTATAAAATAAACACTTTGGCCTATTTTTTCGAAAATGTGATGAATTCTTTGTGTTTTTATCGAAACTTTATGACCCGTTTTCTGAGACTGGTGTTTTCCTAATATTGTCTTTGTTCTCTACAGGCAGCGTGTGTATGTTAAAAACGGGCGTAAAAGACGGACCGAGTAAAGACAAGAGCTTTTACGTCTGCGTTGCAAAGCAGGGCTGCGAGTTCACTCGACAGGCCAGGTATAAGTCATGAGGGCGTTGATCTGAAGCTGACATGGGGCCACTGCACTTCAGCTAAATAATAGTTATCCCAGCTATTCTACACATAACCTTTTAGCGGCCATGTAAATTAAATGACATAAAATGAATGGACAAACCAACGGATTCATCAATTCTCATCCTGTTTGAAGTATTAAATAATAATAAAGCTGTCTTCTCTAGTATCTCACCGTCACGCTGCCTGCATCATGAGGAGTCGGTGGTGGAACTTCAGGCTCTCAGCTACAGTGAGCAGCAGCAGAGCCACAGGTGGGTGTGCAAAAAGATGTTTTATGAAATTAAACCTAACAAGCAGCATGTTATCAACACTTCTGGCCTGCTGACTCTCCCCTGTTTCAGACTCTACTTCAGGTGTACTGTTGGGAAAAGAGACGGGCAGAAATGGTGTGGAAACGTGCCGTGGACTGCAGTAAGATTTGACTGATTTTACCAAGAATGTTTTGGACTTTACATGCCTTTGGTCAGATCTATCTATTGAGTCCAGTCACATCAGTTTTGCCTCTCACTCTCCTAAATGGCTATCTTTTCTTTTTTTTTTTTAGCTCAATTCACTTCCTGCACTCAGACATAAATACTTTATTTTGCAGAAGGGAGTTTACAATTCTAGCAGCATCAACACCCTGAGATTAAAAAGACAAATATGCCAATCAAAACTCATTTTATGGTTTAAAAGTCCTCCAAACCCATGGGTAGATGATGTAAATTCATATGATGGTTCAACCTTTCTAAGTGCAACTTAAAGGCTGATTGCAGTAGGTTATATGAAAAATGTACCTGCATTAATGCTTGTGGTGGTGCGTGTGCCGAGTGCAGCTGCAGGGGAGAGGAAGGGAAGCTGGGCGTCAGGAGATGCGCCAGGTCAGGGGAGTTACAGCAGCCTTGACCTTTTGATGTCATCAGGCCAGCTGCTGAAACCCAGTGTTGGGTGCCAGATGTAGCCTACTGCTTTCAAGACATTGATCCATAGGTTCCCGGACCCTTGCTGCAGATGAAGGAAAGGGAACTGATTACTAACACATCACAGCTCGTGTAATTCTCCTCGCCTGGTGCGTCTTCTGAAGCACTACTCTCTTTCTCCCCTGCAGCTGCACTCTGACACACACACACACGCCACACTGTTTTTCATGGACTGCATGTGATTAAACAGTTTAAATGTTTTTTTTAAGATGCTTCTTTAATATTGAATTCACACATAATTTAATGCATGTTGTTTTTGAATGTTTGCAGGTGGAAAAAGAAAAGAGAGCTCCTCTATCTGATGCACAGCTGCAGCAGTCCTCCTCCCTTCCCTCTGTCCGAAACCCTTTCAAGGCCCCTAGCAAGATGGAGAAAGACTCAGAGTGGAGAAAAATGCAGACCAATGGTCAAAAAGGGAAAGAGAAGGAGAAGAAAAACAGTGAAGTGTGCCCTAACGCCGACAGAAGAGAAAGTTGCCAGAAGGAAAATGTGGAAGCTGTAGGTGCAAAAGTAGAAAAAGAAGAGGAAAAAAAGTCTAACATGCCTGATGTATATCAAAGGAAACTTCTTCCACCTGGGATGAAGATCAAGAAGAAGATTTCAAGTGAGGAGAGCAGCAAGGACAGAGCTGGCACTGATAATGTAATGACTGCAAAGACCCAAGAGGAGGCTAAGGAACATTCTGCTGAGCAGGAAGGAGCAGAAAAAAAAACTTCTGCACCAAGCCTCGTGGTACATCACATCAAGAGTCAAACCTCTCCTGGTTTTGAAAACGTGTCACAAAAACCAGCGAGTCAAGGTGAACCCTCGGTTCAAGACAGCGCAACCAAATCTGCCCCCTACGGCAGCCAGCAGGCTTCCAGAGAGTCAGAAGCCCTCCCTAGTGATGAGGATGATGATGATGATGTCGTGCTGGTGTCAGTGAAACCCCCGGCTCAGAAAACGCCCCCCCTCTCTGCTGTTCAGAAGACCCTAACCTGCTTCCCTGGGTTCCAGTCAGCTGCTAAGGTGGACAGCACCAGCGGGATGCACAGCCTGCTGAGCACACAGCTCAAACAGAAAAAGGTTGTTTAAGAAAATCTACTCCTTTCCTCCACTTGTAGATTCTGACATCCTCTGCTTTTGATCAGATTAACTGTAGCATCATAGCTAGTGATGTGTTTGGCCTATAACACCACCTGCTGACGCAAGGGTGGGTTTCTCTCATGCTTACACGATCTCTGCATTCCTGTTTTCTGCAGCAGAACCATAAGATCTCATCGGACAAACAAGGAACACCTTCGTTTTACCGGAGAAACAAAGAAGCTTTGCGTGATGATTACCTGAGTGTGTTGTAATTGCGTGTCTGTCTACTGTATTAGGCAACTCTGTCCGTGGTGAATGTGGAAGCTCTGCCAGATAAAGGAGAGAGGTTGAGGACCCAGGTGAAAGAGTTAGAGGATGCTCTGGAGTCTCTGAGCCTAGCTGCTGCTTCTCAGCCTGGTGAGATTTAACGTATGCAAATGGATTAAATGGAGACAGTTAATCAGAACAACGGATGGTCATGAAACAATCTCATTTAAAGGATCAGTTCTGAGTGAAGGGAGCTGATAAAAGACTAAAAACCTGGTTTTGCTCACGGCTGCTCTCTTGTGTAAATCGCTTTTAAGAGTCCAGCATCAGCCAGTCTGCTACTAGGACCACCAGCATCAGTCCATCCTGCCAGCAGGGTGGTACCATCCTGCTCTCCTCTCCCCCGGTCTCAGACCCGGTTCAGCACCAAGCCTCAGGCCTCCACCTGAGTCAGGGATATGCCCAGATGTTTGGAGGTAGGACAAGTCTCTGTTAAACCTCTTTACTGGTGTGTATTTTCTTCCTTCACCTCCTTAATGTTTACACAAACTAACATTTTGTTCTGTTTTGTGTAGATGCACAGATGCACGCCTTTTATGGTGGCAAGATGACCCATGATCGTCTGCTGGCAGTGAAGAATGCTACCTGTGAGGCCATCGATCATCTCCACAAGTCCTTGGAGTCTTGTCCTGAGGCTGAGGCTGAGGTGCCTGACCCCAGTGGCATCAAGGTTTCCTTCTCCTTCAGCCTCTACTCTGGTGTCTGCTCAGTCACAATCAGACTTTGTCATTGCCTTTGTGTTGTTGGTTGTCTAGGTGACACTTATGGCTCATCAGAGAAGAGCATTGGCTTGGCTGCTCTGGAGGGAAAAGCAGAATCCCTGTGGAGGAATTCTGGGTAATCTTTATTATCTTTTTTTACGTCTGTTTCCGTGATCTTTATCCAAGATTTCTCAATGTCCTGCAGCAAAATCTCAGATGTTGTTTTAAACATTAAGAATGAGCTTTTGTTTCTTTTTGAGTTACATTTTGTAACCACTGAGATGTTTATTTTGTGTTTTCTAAAATCATCAGCGCATGAAGCAGGGTATCCACGGGTCCTTAAAAAGTCTTAAATTAGCTTTTCCAAATTTAAGGCCTTAAAAATCCTTTAAAATGACAAATAATCCTTAAATACAGTTTCCAAAGGTCTTAAATTACCAAAGACCCAATAAACAAATTTCTTTTATTTCTATAAAATTTTCGTGAATTTCTAGTTAGTGTTCAGCATTTTTTGCGTACGATGTTGGCGTAAGCGGAACCGTATACGTTCAGTTGGTTGTGAAAGGGGGCTATTTTTATAGGAGCACATTAGCTGGTTAAGCTAGTGGGAGCTTGCGCCATGGGGAAGTGCAAGTTTAACGGTAACTGGATGGCTAATCCCACGTTCGTGACGTGGTTAACACCATTTCCAGGCAATAGCTGGAAATTATAGCTTTAAGTAAATTTTTAAAAGTTGCTTAAATTTGGTCAAAGTGGCCTTAAAAAGTGTTAAGTCTTACATTTGGCTCCCTTAAACCTGCAGATACCCTGATGAAGAAAATCACTTCTTTAATGGAAGAAAATGTGTAATTTGCTATTACGATCCTAGTATTCTGATCCCGAGAGAAATAAGAACCGTTCAACGCTGTTGGAGTGGGTAAAGAACAGCAATAACTTATGTCCACTTGTATTTTATAATAGTAATAATAATGCATTGAACTTATATAGCGCTTTTCTAGACACCCAAAGACGCTTCCCACACACTCTCACATTCACACACTGCTAGTGATGGTAAGCTACTTGTAGCCACAGCCGCCCTGGGAAAGTCTGACAGAGTCAAGGCTGCCATTTGGCGCCGTCGGCCCCTCTGACCACCACTAACACAGGCAAGTTGGGTGAAGTGTCTTGCCCAAGGACTCAACAGCAGGATACCCCTGGTGGGAGCTGGAATCGAACCCATGACCCTCCGATCATGAGTCAACCCGCTCTACCACCTGAGCTACTACTGCCCCTTATGAACCCTTCTGTTGTGTTTGGATGCAGCGGACGACATGGGTCTGGGGAAAACTCTGACCATGATCGCTCTCATACTGGCCAAGAAAATAAAAGCAAAAGAGGAGGATCAAAGGAAGGAAGAGAAGAAGCTGCAGACTTGGCTGTCTAAAACTGGTAACTAGAAGTGTTGATCTTCATTTTTCATTCTAGGACCTTATATTACAGTGATTTACATTTTATTTTTACTTGTTTATCCAGACTCCAGCATTGTTGCCTCTAAGGGAACTCTGATCATCTGTCCTGCTTCTCTGATTCACCACTGGAAGATGGAGATTGACAGACATGTGAAGGGAGGCAAGCTAAGTGTGTATCTGTACCACGGCCCCAACCGCGAGAGGAGTGCCCGAGTGTGAGAAACACACACACTACTGTGGTGCTATGTTTTTCTCTTTGTCCTCAAGTGCCTCATGTGTAATCACATAAGTCTTTTGTCTGAATCGTGTTGGAATGAAGGTTACGTTGAAACAAATGTCCTTTTGGGGGGGGGTCCGTGAGTCCGTGGGGTTGCGCAGACTGTGATGACCTAACGCCGCAGCGCCGCATTTGTAATTCCACACCGGCATGCAAAAAGCTCCAGGACTGAAGCCAGTAAACAGGAGCGACCCAGAAGTTATTTCTTATACCCTTAAGAAGCCACGGCATCTTTTTATTTTAATCTAATAACACTGTCAGCCTCTAGCTTTCATCTGATAACGGTAAATTACAAGCAAATAGTTTGCTTTAAAACTATCTCAAGCTACTTTTTCAATTATCGACAACTCGATATTACCGTAAAACGTATCTACTTATCTCACTGTGTGTGACTCGTCTTTGCTCGTCATCTAGATTCTTCTGGTTCTGATCCCAGTGTTTCCCCTACATGGGCTAAATTCCAGAGCCACACCTATAAGAGCCACACACACACAGATGCTCGGAAGGGAAGCACTCCACGTGCAACAACCCTCCCCCTCGTAGACAACGCGCGGCAGCAAGACAGTCCGCATGCAACATCCCCCCACCCCGACCATGCACAGCAGCAAAGCCCCCCCCCCCCCCGGACAACGAGCGGCAGTGAGACAGTCTGCAAGCAACAAACCCCTCCCCCTCATGGACAATGCGCAGCAACGAGACGGTCCACACGCAACCACCACACCCCAACAATGCATGGCAGCAAAGATGGTACGCGAGCAACTAACACACACATGCCCCCCCCACCCCCGTGGACAACGTGCAGCAGCAGCAAGACAGTCTGCACTCTCAGCACGCACCCCTGCTCCTCGGCTGGAAACATTTCTAGGGGAAACACTGGATCCGTAACTGTTGCTCAGAGTCAATCAATCAAAGCTTTATTTATAAAGTGCCTTCCCTATCGGGAAGCCCAAGGTGCTGAACATGGTATATGAGAAAAGTTAAATATGATGAATAAATCGAAAATAAAAGCAATTCAAATATTACAACAAAAAAAAGGTAAAACATTCTAGTAGAAGACAAATGGGTAAAACAAGGGATAGAGTGAACCAATGAAAACAGGGAATTAAAATCAACATAAAAGAGGGCTAAATTCAAACACGTTCAGGGAACACCAAGCGGAGGAGGTAGGTTTTTAGGCGACTCTTAAAGACTGGCAGAGATGGGGACAGCCTAACTGAGGGTGGCAACTGGTTCCAGAGTAACGATGCTAGAACTGAGAAAGCCCGGTCCCCGCGAGTACGACACCTAGAACGAGGGACAACGAGCAGGTCTTGGTCAGACGAGCTCAGAGCACGTGATGGGGAGTGTCTGTTCAGGAGTGTGGCTAGATAGGGGGGAGCACCACCCTGGAAGAAATTAAAAACAAAGACGAGGAGTTTGAAGTGTGAGCCATAGCAAACCGGAAGCCAGTGCAGGGAGGTCAGAACCGGACTGATGTGGTCCCGTTTCCTGGTCCCAGTAAGGAACCTGGCTGCGCTGTTCTGCACAACCTGTAGGCGACGCAGTGATGACTGACACAACCCTGCATAGAGAGAGCTGCTGTAGTCAAGCCTAGAAATAACAAAAGCATGGAGTACCCGCTCCAGGTGGACTCTTGACAGCATATGCTTGATTTTTGCAAGGCGTCTCAGGTGAAAGAAACTGGACCGGATCACAGAGTTGATGTGAGCATCAAATTTAAGTCCAGCATCAAGTTTCACCCCCAAACTGGTGACAACTGGTTTTGAGTATGGAGAAAGAGGGCCAAGATCAACATAACGACCCACATTCCTTCTGTTGGGGTGAAAAACAATGAGCTCTGTCTTTCCCTCATTCAGATGCAGAAAGTTTGCCATTAACCAAGACTTCACCTCGTTAAGACAGGACACAAAGGACAGAGTGGACTCATTTGTTTTGATACATGAACTGCAGTACCCACATTTAACCACAGGATGTCATTCTTTCTTCGTGCACCTTTAATGAGTCTTGAGATGTTTTTAACACCAAAGACAGACAAACAGGTGAGCACATTATCACCTGGCTTTTGATGCTAATAATGTGTATTTGTCCTTCAGGCTAGCAGACTATGATGTGGTGGTGACCACTTATAGTTTGGTTTCCAAGGAGATTCCTGTCAAGAAGGAGGAGGCGCAAAATCCCACCAAAGACCCTGAACAAGTGGTAAATACTAACTGTAAAGTCTCTGGGTTCAGTACTCATAATAATGACTTAATGGCGGTTATCACAGAAGCTTGTGAATAAGTTCACTGCAACAGCTGACGGCACGTGTTTCTGTAGCCATCACACTCAGCAGCTCTACTGCGTGTGGCCTGGGCTCGTGTGATTCTAGACGAAGCACACAACATCAAAAATCCAAAAGTTCAGACCTCCATGGCCGTCTGTCAGCTGAGGGCTAATGCACGCTGGGCCATGACCGGTACTCCCATCCAGAACAACCTGCTGGACATGTACTCGCTGCTCAAGTAAGTCAGAAACACTGAGGAGGCTGGGGGGTGTTGAAAGTTCACTTGGCTACAGGTGTACATGTATGTCTGAATCGTTTCTTCAGGGATTTCCTTAGAAACTTCAGATCCAGCGGAGTCACGCGTCTTGTTTGGGTTTTAAAGGAAATCCGTGTCTATTTTCAGTCAGGCTGAAGTCTTTTTGGTTTATGAACAACCATCTCATCGTGATCATGATTGTTTTTCAGGTTCTTGCGTTGTTCTCCGTTTGACGAGTACAAACTGTGGAAAGCTCAGGTGGACAACGGCTCCTCGAGAGGCAGAGAGAGACTCAATATCCTGACCAGGACTCTGCTGCTGCGACGCACCAAAGACCAACTAGACTCTCGGGGAAAGCCACTGGTAACCACACACACACACACACACACACACACACACACTGGAAAGGAGTTGTTAGAGGAAGCTGCCGAATGTTTCAGGTGCTTCTACCCAATCGGAGCTGTGAGGTGCATCAGCTCACGCTGTCAAAGGAGGAGCAGGCTGTGTATGATGTGGTGTTTGCCCAGTCCAGGTAAAACACACACACACACACAGATGCACACAAATCCAATATAATGTTCAAATATTCACATATAAAAATGTCAGCTTTAGGAAATAGTTTATTTTGTTGACATTAAATTTAAAGTGATGTCTTAGGCTTCCTCTACCATCATCAGGACAACAAAACTAGGACATTTTTTTAGTTTTGTGTTAAATCTATTTGGAAAAAGATAAATACTAACAAGTGTTTATGCAGAAGAGCAGTGATGGTAAAATGTTTTCTCCAGATCGACTTTGCAGAACTACCTGAAGAGACACGAAGGGAAAGATTTGAACTCAGGAAACTCCTTCAGTTCAAATCCTTTTGATAAAGGTGAGACGGCGTCTTGTTGTGGTGGTCGTTGTTGTTGTTAGGTCATCCACAAACTAGGTCAGTTTAAGTTGCAGTAAGGTCTAATGATGCTTTCAAAAATGAAATTGTATAAATAATTTAAAAAGTGGGTTTTTATATGTGTGTGTGCACTCTGGTTCTAGTGGCACAGGAGTTTGGTATGTCCCAGCCTGTCTCTGGTGTGCCTGGACAGGCGTCCAGCACTGTCCACATCCTGTCCTTGTTGTTGCGTCTCCGACAGTGTTGCTGCCACCTCTCACTTCTGAAGAAGGTACGCACCAATCTGCAGTCCTTTACAAAGTCTAACACTTACCGGATCACACACATAAGCCATCATTTCTCTCTCCTCCCCACAGACGCTGGACACGTTGGAGCTGCAGGGCGATGGGATCGTCTTGTCTCTGGAGGAGCAGCTCAATGCCCTGTCGCTCTCCTGCAGCCCCTCCCAGTCTGACTCTGACCCCAAAACCATGGTGGCCCTCAACGGCTCCCGCTTCCCCTCACAGCTGTTTGAGGAGAACAGCCAAAGCACCAAGGTGAGAAACTGCTGCTGCTCATGGTGATTCTCTCCTCGGGGACATTCTGACTGTTTGGGACAGATGTCCAGAAAATATTGACTCATTAGATATTTCTTCTGTTTGTGTTTGTTTTTCTGAGCCAAATAGCTGATGAAGCATTGGATGGACTTTTAGAGAAATCATATCAGCAAACAGACATCTTAGTTACGTGTCAGCTGCCACCACAGCTAAACAATTAGTGTAACGCTGACTGTTACTCCCCTCAAGTCTTAATAAAGCTCAACTTGTTCTTTGCTTTTACTGACATTTATTTCGGACAGGAGGATTCTTCGACATGCCTTAACATGTAATGAATGATGTCCAACCACAGCCGATACAATGCCGTCACAACTAAAAAGAAATACAAACTTCAATGAATATTCTTAATAAAGTCCTTAAGCATTATATGACAAACATTTCAATAAATCGATCAATAAAATACACGCTACACTTCACATTGCAGTAATTGCACTAGAATATCACGCAATACTAGCGTATTTACATACAACTATAATAAGCAAAAGAAAATATTTACCTCATTGGCCTCACTCAAAGGGAATAAACTTTAATCCTTACGCCGTGAGGTAGTCCAAAAAAGGCACTCTTTTATTTAGCTTACTGTAGACGTGCAACCTCGTGGCTCGTCTCTTAATTGCTTGCTGAGTGTGCCAGCCAAGAAAAATGCCCCCTTAGCAACAACGGACAGAACTATAGAAAAGGTTCCCATCTAATTGCACAGTTAACACAAATACACATTTAAACATATAAATCTAATGAACAGAACATGAATTACTATTGAAATATTATTTCTCAATATTTCAACTACTAATTTTTTCAACATTAAATCCAATAAAATGAACATAAATGCGAGAGTTGCCTTTGACGGCAGCTACACTAACGCTAGTTAGCAGCACATTGATTGTGAAAGACAACTGAACACTCACTGTGTGCAATATCAATTAAATAAGTCATTAAATCTCTTAATTGACCTTCAAATATAAAACAAACTCAAAACATAAAAAAACGGTGACCCAGCAGAGCCCAGGGACCCAGACCCCACCAGGCAGCCACTGGGATTGATCAGGCAGATGCCAAAATCTTAAACCCCCAGACCCGGTTGCCACGAACACTCAGGCAGACCAAGGCACAACCCCTCACACCAGGTGTGGCAGGGGGAGGGGGAACGAAGATCTATATCATCAAAAGAAGTTCCAGGAGAGGGGATGAGTCAAAGGCCCCACCTGACATATACAGTCATACACAAACACAGTCACACACTCCCTCCCTCATGCTCACACATGCACATACAACCCAAGACTTACAAAAATGCACGCCGGACACTCACTCATGCTCCCCATACACACCCTATTCACTCTGGTCCAGGTACTGCTGCACATTGAGTACAACCATCACCGCTAACCAGAGTTTGACCCTTTCTGCTGGGGTGCTGATGAGCAGGCTCCCCCGCCCAACGCTGAGCACAGCAACCCACCACCCCAGACCCCAACCAAACGGCCAGATCTCCCTCCTAGCCTCCAGCCCCAGGAAGCCAAGCAACAACAGAGGTGTGCTAAGACCCCTAGTCTCCCTCCGCCTGCTCCAATATAGTGTTATATATACATTATTATTATTATATATATATATTACATTTCCTTTAGAAATTCAAACATATTTTCTCCAAAAACTGTTTGGACTACAGGACTACAACCGCTAAGACTACGACCGCAAATCTGTTCTGACCAATCAAAATCATAACGTGATAACGTAACTTCCGTAAGCTTCATGTTCAGCCAATCAACTACTTTGACGTCATCGGCAGTCGAAGGACCCCGAGCCGATCCTGCACCGACCGCGGCAGTTGGCCACACAGGTGCCTGATTTATTTATTTTTTAAATTTTTAATCTGCTTTTTAAAATAATTTCGGCCGATATAGAAAAAAAGTCAATATATTGGTCGGCCTATATATTTTAGTAGGTTTCACAAATGTTGAGCTAGTCCAGGGATTAAAGTTTTCCGTCGTGGCGACGGACATCCGTCAGTTGGAATAATCAGAAAAAAAGTTCCGTCAAATTCTCTTCTCGCGCTCGCTTGCGTTTAGTAGTGTCTCTCTCTCGCACTCTCCTGTTGTTGATTGAAACGCGCACCAGTGTTGAAACGCGTTTTCTCCACCATTCTGCACCGCCCAAGCTGCAAAAACGCGTGCGCTTATTGCTCGCTCCCACGGTGCACACAAACACAAATTGCTCGTGCACCAGGTGCTGGGATTCTAACTACGGCCCGACCGATATGCTTTTTTTGGAACCGATACCGATATAAAACTTTTAACAAAGGCCGATAGCCAATACAATGGCCGATAAATCTCCCTCACAAAAAAAAAAGAAATAAAAATGTTCTTAAGCTTAAACCCTTCATTCTCTGCCTTTTTGATGCAAACTTATTTCTCTATTACACACCAAAGAACTGTCTCCATAACTCACTAGGGTTTCTAAGTAATGCAAATAAGATTTAGTTAGCAAATCTCAAAAACAACAGAACACACAAACTCAGTCGCAGCATAAATCTAACATTGAAGTTTTCTCTTGTAAACTATGGTTTCCACAAATACATTTTAACTTAAAGGAATATTACACCACTCAGTAAAGTTGTGTCTTGTTAAGATTCCCCAGAGTTAGACAAGTCAGAAAATGCATTTTATAACCTGCCAATGTCCAATAATTTTTTTCCAGGGGGCCATGCCCCCGACCCCCCTAGAGTACATTAATGCTTATCATCTGTTTTACCTCAGAGAAATCTCAACACTTTTAACACTTTTAAACACTGTATGTGAACGGGTTATTCCAAATTTTTCATAAACAAGAATACTGACCTTAAAACCAATCAAAACCAAGTAGAGGCTGCGTGTAAACAATGTGAGCCCCCCCCCCCCCCCCCCCCCCCCCTCCCAATCATTTTCAGTCAGATGAGAATTTTTTTGCTTCAATCCCTGAGCTAGTCCTTCTTTTCTGTAGCTGAGAGTTGTTACGTGCCGTGCCCCTTTTTGGCTACAAGATGGCCTCAGTGGCTTCTGCCTCGACAGTCTCCCGGTGCCCAGCTGTTTGTAATCACTAATCACTGGACAGCTGTTAAAAGCTGCTCTCCTGCCCACAGTTCTTTGAGAAGGTCCAGGGTAGTGTAGACTCTTTTGAGTTTATACTATTCTCTTCTCGTGTGCTCTTACTTAGTATTGCTCTCGTTTCGACTTTGGTATTTGACTCACTTTTGGACATTTGGAATTAGGATAGACTTTTGATAACTCGACTTCGGACCGGCTTTAGAATTTGACTTTGGATCTGCTTGAACTTTCCTGCTTCTCAGGACTGCTCTTATTATTCGTATTTTTCTTCAGTTTATCCCCTACCCCTTCTGGGTTGGTGTTTTCTGTTCTCCCCTTCTTTTTTGTAGATAGCTCCTTTTGTTTTTTTGTACATAGATATTCCTTTTAATGTTGTAAATACTGTTTTGTAATAAAAATCCTTTGTTATTTTAGCGACACAGCCCGTTGTTATTATTTCACCCACACACCAATTTTATTACTCCCCTATCCTCATCTCTCCTAGAGAGCCGGGGACGTAATAGTTGTTCACAACAGATCAAACAGCATCTTGTCATCTTGCCTCAAATCAGGCATCTTCCTGTCCGAGGCTTTTTTTTTTTTTTAATAATGCGTTTGTTCCTCAGATTTCTGCTATAATCTCAGAGCTGATGGCCATCAGAGACACGGGTGACAACCAGAAAAGGTGAACGTGTTTTTACACTAACGGGGCCTTTTTGCAACATTTCTTCTTTGTTTTTATTAAAAAGTCTAGACCTGAACATCTTTCTGTGAGAACATCCCGAACTTACCATGTGCTGTCCACTCTGTCGGGGTTGTGCAGTGTGATCGTTTCACAGTGGACCAGCATGCTCAAGATTGTGGCAGTTCACCTGCAGAAGATGGGCTTGAGATACGCAGTCATTGACGGAACTGTCAACCCCAAACGCCGCATGGACATGGTGGAGGATTTCAACACCAACCGCAAAGGGCCACAGGTACCGCTGACGGACCTTAAAACTAAAGTGTAGCGAGGACTCTGAGTAAAAGGCTTTAGTTAAAACATAACTCTGTGTCGAAACGAATGTATTTTATTTTTCATGCAAAAGTTTGGTTTTTGTTGTTTGTCCGAAAGGTGATGCTGCTTTCTCTGTGTGCTGGAGGGGTTGGGCTCAATCTCACTGGTGGCAATCACCTGTTTCTCATCGACATGCACTGGTGAGTCATGCTAGCAGCATGTGGAGTCTGAGTATTAAACCATTTGTGTAAAACCTCTGATGTTGTTTCAAATTCTTTCCATTCAGTTGTCCTAAAGTAACCCAAAAATGATCATTGATTAATTAATTAATGATTGGATCTTAGTAGGGATGCAACGATACCACTTTTTTCCAAACCGATACGATACCGGTACTTGGATCTGAATATTCGCCGATACTGATACTTCTACCACACAAAAAAATGCAATGATTTGGAATACAGATTTTATTTTCTTCTCTGCCTTCAACAGGAAAAGACTGTGAGGTAGATAAAAAGTAAAATATATGAATAGAAATCATCACAAAACTAAAATATTAGGTGAACAGAAATGACAAGTTACAGTGACGCCATTTTCAAGCAACTGCATTGGTATCGGTTCACTTTTACCGATGCCGATACCTGTATCGGTGCACCCCTGGATCTTAGTCCAGCTGTCTGCTACCTACCTCACCTGCTTTGGCACAAAAACATTTGACATTATAATCTATTTACAGTTAAAAACCTGGTGTTACTGGAGGTGAACAAGTTAATCCAAAACACCAGTAAGAAGATATGCACAATATAGAAAAGTCTCCTTTAATTCTCCAACAGGAATCCAGCTTTAGAGGATCAGGCCTGTGATCGAATCTATAGAGTTGGACAAAGGAAAGACGTCACCATACACAGGTAGAAAGTCTCACCTGTCCACTGTTCCTCTGATCCTGTTCAGGGTTCCTGGGGTCATGGAGCATTATTCTTTCAGCCATATTACCAGTATCCTTATCCTTAGGGTGGCATCGTTTAATTATTTTAACTAAAGAGAAGTGTGGATGTCGCTGTAGTTTAAGCTTAGTCATTGTACTAATGTTTGTAATGCTTGCTGACAGGTTTGTGTGCGAGGGTACGGTAGAGGAGAAAATTGCCACTCTGCATAAGAAGAAGAAGGACCTGGCCCAGAACGTTCTCTCAGGAACCGGAAGCACCATCACCAAACTCACGCTGGCTGATCTCAAAATCATTTTTGGTGTTTGACAGACAAGGGGACTGAATTTGATGCCAAGCTCTGAAAATGTTGAAATATATATATAAAGGAAATTGGTTTTATATTAGTTAACAGAAATGTATTTTTCCTAAGTCAGTGGCTTTTGATGACCACCAGTTTGCTTCACTCTACATGCAGCCACTGCTGCATAGCTGAGTAATTTTAATGGGCAATCTTTGCAACATCTATAAACCTTCTTTTTTCAACGGTTTGTTGAGGAAATATGTTTTCATTGTTTTATCTGTATGATTTTGTTTGTGATAGGAAAACGTCTATTCTGTCTCATTTAATTTTCAGAAATCGACACATTGTGCAGGGTCTGTATGTTGCTTTAATCATACTGTCCTGTGTTTGGCCTTGAACTGTTCTAGGTTGTCAGCTCTTAACTACTTTTCTGTGGTGTGAATTTATAATTGAAATAAGCATAATAAATTATGTTCCACTACAAGTGTTGCTTTGTTCTTCATTGCCAACTGACCATAGATCATTTTATTGTTTCTGATTTACACTGCAGCTTGATTTAGGCAAGTGTGGTTAAATTAATAACCAGGCTGTTTCATCGCACACATGTAGACAGACACGGTTTACATTTGTGTCAGTCAGTGAAACTACCTTTATTCTCAACCTGTATGAGTCTCATGATCTTTTCTGTCATTTAGAATGATGTCTTCAGTTAAACCTGTTCTAATCCTGCATGCTAAAGCTAATTACAAATAAAAACAGAAAATTATTTACTATTTTAAGATAAGGTTGAACTTTCTTGCACGTTGCATACAAAATTTGCATGTGGGCATTACAAATACAGTTAATACATGCCCTTGGTAGCAACAAACCTTGTTTTCTCGTTATGAAGAGAATAAATAATTTGTATATCATTTTTTAGTAACTGCATTTAGATCATGTATCAGTCTGCTATGCAAAATCAAAGCTTTTCCATCCTGGCATTAGGAAGTGACCATCCTGACCCCTTAGTTCGCCCTTTCTGTCCTCATGCAACAGTGGAAACAAATAAACCTGAGATGCATTTAAGGAATCTCGGAATTTTGGAAAATTTACGTAAAGTACAATAGTTCGTTTAGTTTCGTAATGCACAAAATCGGAGTATATACAACAAATATATTTCTCTATTTTTAGGTTAGTTGAACAATTGAAAGGAAATAACGAGCAACAAAAATAAACATGTTTGTAGGAATTAGGAAAGGTAGGCGGAACTGTTATGGGTGGTCTTTCAACGCCACATTGAGAATGGGCGGTAGCTTCGTTGCTCTGTGCAACCTTAGCGGACAGTAGTGTTCGGTGCTCTCGCGCCATACGTCTGTAAATACAACGGCCTTAACGAGTGCTCAACCTAAAGTAGCGTGTATTTTATTAAACCGTACAGTCCAACAGCCATGGCGGCTGAAACAGACAAGGTTGAAACAGCAGATAGCGAGCAGGACGAGGAAGAGGATGTATACGAAGTGGAAAGGATCATAGACATGCGAGTGGAAGAGGTACGGCTAAGTAGCTAGCCGGCTAGCTTGGCAAATATGGCTGGCATTTTTTCCACTCACACGATGCACAGCCGCCTACAGCGGTGGTCAGGTCCATCAAGTTAGCCGAACACTTTTTTTAAATAATTATTGGTACGTTTCGATGCAGTGAATTGTTCTTAAGTTACTTTATTATATGTTAGGATAGCTTTTCGTCGTGACTAGTCGTTGATCCTGCACAACTTCTCCCATGATGTCCGCTCGGATCTCCCCTGCTGAGGCCAAGGACGGACGCTCCTGCGAGCTTGCAAATGTTGTCATCATGGCTGCTGCAGATTAGCATCAGTGCAAGATTTTAAAAGAGATCTGTGTTGGCGTAATTCTGCTCAGGACTATTGGATGTGATTTGCTTTCGGCAAACTAGCAATGAAGTCTCCAGCTAGCATGTTAGCATTGTGGCTTTAGTAGTTGCAAGTACAACACAAACCGACATTTTAAAGTGTTTCTATGCAAACAGTACACTGCTTGTTTGTAGATATAGAAACGAAATTGCTTCAGTGAATGTTAGCTGTAGAATATAACTATTTGTTTATAACCCCACATTCAACGAGAGCGTTTGCTCTAATATATTATCAGTGATTAGCCTGTAGCTACTGCCTTAAGGGTTAAAACATGTAAATCCACGTGACTGACGTCTGTTGTCCCACCTATGTAGTAGTGATGGCGCTTTTGTGAGCGGTGGGGTCAGGGCACTTCATCACTAAACAAAAGAGCCACACGGAGGGTGGAAGAGGGTGGTGGAAACAGGCGTTCAGCAGCTTTTTAGCTTCCGTTTGTCACCTTCAGACAACATTGTGGGTTGATGTAAACATAAAATACAGCGATGTTTGTAACGAATCGTCTTTAACACCAGTGTGGGATCTATGTTTGATCACGTTACAGGTTTACAAATTCATCTGAAATGACAAGATGTTGAATAACAGGAGTCTGAGTAAAATACACAAAAAAAAACAAATCTACAAAAAGCAGCGATCTGTAAAGTAAATGTTTATATGTACAAATATTTTATTTATTTATATGTTTACATTGTCTTTGTGATGAAACAATACAACATTTAATCCTAAAATGTTAATTAGCCCTTCACCTTTGTAAATGATCATTTTGTTCTTTGTGTGACACTGTGTCACATTCAGTTACTGTTCTTTGTGTTTACATTCATTTCCACATGCTGATGATCTAATTCATAGTCTTTCACAATCAATGTGCTGCTAAAACGTGTGTGTGTGTGTGTATACACACATATATATCGGCCTTAATATTCAGCTTTAGATATCGGCAACAAAATTATTTAAAAATCAGTATCAGCATTGGCCTTAAACACCCAAATCGGTCGGCCTCTAATCATCTCATAGGAATGCATTTGATTATTCTATAAGCTGTTGCTGTTACTTTTCTAGTCTCACCTGTGTGTGTTCAGGCATCATTGCAAAGGATTTTGTTGGCTCAGGAAGTGTGTCTGCTATTTTACAGGTCAATGTTGACGTTAAAGCCTGTTTATCACTTTTTCTTTTAAGGGGGAAGTGCTGTACAGAGTTCGTTGGAAGAATTACTGCTCTGACGATGACACTTGGGAGCCAGAAGCCCATTTGGAGGACTGCCATGAAGTCCTGTTGGCTTTTAAGAAACATGTGGCTGAGGCCAAAGCCAAGAAAGAAGCTGAATCAAAGAAAAGTGTGGTAAGTAATTTAGAGTTAGCAAAAAAAATTCTTAAGGAGCTCCATGTTGACTTTTATTATGTGCAACTTTCTGGTATGAACAACAGTCGAGGTTAGAGTAAAAGAAAAAATATTTAACTTTGCAGTTGCCAAAAGACATGGCGAGACGTATAGGCTATGTCCAACTTAGCCTATGGGTTTAATTGTGAGTCACTGCTGGAAGCTGTTGATAATTTTAACTTAATGCTCATAAAAAATGATACCAGAGTTCTTAGTTGTGACATTATTTGTTTCTCTCTCTCTCATCAGAAAGTGTTACCGACAAAAAGCGACGTTTTTGATGCCGACTCGGAGAGCGACAGTGATAAAGAACGTCCAAGTGAAATGCCCATAAAGAAGAAGAAGAAAAAGAAGAAGATCAGGGAAGAAGATGAACCACATTCAAAAGAGAAAAAGAAGAAGAAAAAAGATAAACATAAAGAAGAGTTGAGACCCCTTCCAGCACCTGAAACCGATGAAGAAGAAGCAAGAGCCCCAACCCCACCTTCACTGCCGAAAGAGAAAAAGACTGAGTCAAAAAAGCACTTTGTTGACTCTGATGAGGACACTGAGCCTGTTCCCATCAAAAAGCACAAAAAGGAAAAGACAAAAGAGATGGGGAAGCATAAAAAAGACAAAGGAGAGGAGGGTAAGAAAAAGAAAATGAAAAGGGAACGAAAAATGGAAACCTCTGAAGATGAAGCTGCTGCTCCTCTAGAAGACGACCTGAGTGATAGTCCATCAGACGTACAAATGGATGATCCTGGAAACACGGAGGCTGTGGCAAAAGCAGGTGAAAAGGCCGGTTTGGATGACAAGGTCAGACAAAAGAAGGGCAAGTGGGAGGTCAAGCTGCAAGGCATTGAGCTGGTTAATGACAAAAAGAACAAAAAGGCAGACGGCACCCAAAAGGACAGTCTTCAGAAACTCAAAGGTTTCATGTCTAAACCCAAGGAGGACGCTGCTCTACAATCAGATTCAAGTGATAGCTCCACACTTCACAAAAGGCCCAAAAATAAAGCCAACGAGAGCACGTCAGCAGCTCCAAAAGTTCCTTCGTCATCCACCTCCTCGTCATCCTCGTCCTCCACCGCCGTGAGCATGAACAAACCCAAGGAGGAAGGAGCCAAAGAGGACCCCAGTGGTTCAACTAACTTGTTTGACCAGTTCTTGCTGGACTGTGAGGCCAAAGACAGGGCTCCACGCAGGCCAGCAGCTGCAGAGAAAAGCAGCAGCAAACCCTCAAAAGTGTGGCTTTGATCCTTTTCAGCTTGTTGTGATCAGATGGGGAAAATTGTGACGTATATCTTACTCTGTCTGTTTTTTATCCTGATATTAGATCATTGGTAAGATTGAGAAGATTCCCAAGCCAGCTAAAGAGTCTCCTTCTCAGAGACCCGAGCTTGAGAAGACAGAGAGGACAAAGCAATCAGATGGTATGTAGAAAACAAACTGATGTAAAAAGCAATCTTCTTAAGCCTGGCGGACACTGTGAGACTTTTTCAACTTTTTGAGCCGATTTTCCACTCGTGCGAGAATCCATAAGATCGGGGTGAGTTTTGCGCTGAGCGTCGTGTAGTGTACAGGGAGAGGCGATTAACACCACGTGACCAGCTACCGATCAGCAATCGTGAGCTCGCACGGACTTCTGGAGTGTTTGATATTTTGCTCGTCCCTCGTGAGGGTATCGCACTGTTGAAGCAGCGCTGCGAGCGGTTGCGACCCAAAAAGTACCAGAACCGCTGAAGGCGCATGCTCAATCATGCATCAACACCGCTCGCCCGCTATTTCCCTAATAACACACGTTGTTCGTTTTTGTTTCTACACGTTTTTTTTACTCACAAAGATTGTCAAGAAAGCGTGTTTGTCGTGTTCATGTCAAATTAAACCGATCACAAAACACAGATTTACTTTCTTTATTTCGTTTTCCTCATCCAACCCCCATAAATCCCTGTGTGTCCTCCTGCAGCACTCCCGAAGGACAACAGGCAAAACAAAAAAGTCTGACGTGTTGTGTAAAAACTGCTATTTTTAGCATATTTTAGGTCCGACGTGTTGCTACCAGACGTGTGAGCAGTCAGGTCGCATCCGAGAACTGGGTCGTACACATCGGTCGTGCAGTGTGAGCACATGACTCGTGAGATCTGCCCTGCGAGGAAGTCGTACAGTTTGAGCTGAAGCTGAGTGCTACGAGTGAAAAAGTCGCACAGTGTCCACCCAGC